AATACATAGGGTATTAAAAAAAATATTTAAAACACCCAACGCATATTCCATATATTCAACTCAGTGTTACAAAACATTTTCCTAAATTTTGAAATATCTAAACATAAAATCCCCTTAGTCTCGAGATATGCTTCTTGACGCCGGACCCCAAACCGTGTCATTAGCCGGATTGGATGACAGGGTTTTTTTGCGTAAAAAAAAAACAAAACATATGAAAGATGTTGTAATGCGTGAATTATAAAAAAAAATGCATGCGTAACCATAGCAACGTAACAAGATTCCCATGCGTTTGACTGACTTGGGTCAATGGACTTTTAGTTGGAACATTTTGAATTGAAATATTTTTTACTAAACTAAATAATAATTACAGCATCATCAGATGGTGTCAGAACAAAGCCAGGGGGACAGAGCACGATGCATAACTTCATTGTTGTATTTCTTACATATTCATTAAAGGGCGATTTTATGCTATTTTTATTTATTTATTTATGTTTTTTAAGTTATGTTCTCAAAAGAAAAAAAAAACTTGTGTGTGCATTGGCTTTATCTCTTATCATAGAATCTTGTCCCAAATCATAATCGTATATATACATGAGCTGAGACACACGCAATTTAAACCCACAATAATATGTGTTACTCAGTTTATTAAATTTAAATTTTGGACGCGGTGAAGATAAATGACAAGATTCAACAATATTAGCTCCCACAATGTAGCCGTGTCATATCTCCCTGTTGTGTCATGCATGTCCATACACATAATCAAGTCTATACAATTTTTTATATAGATGAGATATAGTTTAGATAAAATAATTACAAAAATATATTGATAGCAGAGAAAATAGATTGATAAGTTTAAAACAAATTTTTAATAAATTGGTACGGTTTAGTGATCGAAATGCTCCATTAGGTTCATTAATGGGAAAAATAAAACACTGTTCAACCGTAACTGCTTAAGTTTGGTAATAAATGGCGTCAGAAAAGTGGGACCCACAATATCTGACATGCGAAATTGGTGACGTGCTGAGGTTTTTCACGTGACACGCCCGCGGCCTAACTGCCACGTGTCCATTAATCTATTCGATTTATGATAATTAATCCATCCGTTCACACGCAAGATGAAGTAATAAATAAACTAATGAAACTGGTGGGTTTTAATATTCCACTTGTCCCTACTTCTTTTTGGATTCGGTTAATACCGGTTTGTAAACTTTTGCAGATCCAATTTGATTCACAACTCAACCGAAAAAAAAAAGTTTGCATGTGACCTTCAAAAATGACAAATTATTTATTGAGGATTGGAGAATAATGGATTGTAAAAATGTATATAAAAATTGCAATATATATACGTATATATATTTAATAATTCGTTTCAGCTTCCCATTTGATGCTTTTCTCGAGAATACATACGTGTACATTGGCTTTTATTAAGTACCCTTCTTATTTATAGATTCCTGTTTCGAAGTTTCTCACTCACTTCTCATCCTCACCCTTTTCTCGTGTACAGAACTTCATTGAGCGATAGTTTGGGCAGGAGAGCATTTAGGGTGTTATGGACTTCGACTACCGAAGAAGCCAGATAAGAATGGAACATATTTTTTTCATTTTGCCACGAAATTGAGGGATGGTGTTCATCTTTCAATTTCGTGGCAAAATAAAAAAATCAGTCTCTAAAGTTTTCAAGGCAGGATCCGGCCAGAAGACTACGATCCGCAGAGGATCGACGTCAAGCTCTGCCGCCGCCAACACGGAGGACCTGAAACGTATAAAAAGCAGCACTGCTTTTACTGCATGGTTGCAGACGAAAATCTGCCCGAGCGACTTGAAGGGCAAGGAGTTCGAAGCCTTTTTGAGGCAAGAGCTCGCTCGTGCCTCTGAGGAAGAGGTGCGAGGCTACTACTCCGAGTTCATGGAGAGGATCCGCGAAGCTCGCCTCGCGGATGAGATTAAAAGAGGACTCAATGACGGAGACGAAGACGTAACTAATTAAAAAGCTTTTCTTCTTCTTATGTTTGCTTTAATTTCGGATCTTCTGTGTTCTTGTTGCGATTCGTTTCGGACTTTCTGTTGTTGTTGGACCGGATCTTGTCGTTATCTATATTATGTTGCTGTTATTAACTTATTATGTGCTGTGTTTGTGTTTTCATGTATTTTTTTTATATTATTCTGGCATTCCGCCGGTACTCTTTTGTTAAATAACGTTCTTTAACTTTTTTAATGTATTTTTTTAGTTTTATTTTGTTAATGAACATCCGTGAATCTTGTCCATGATGATAACATCTCATCATTCATATGTCAATTTTTAAATTTTAAATTCTCGTTGATTAATATCATGTGTTCACAAAAAAAAATCATACAAGTATAGAAAAGAAATGGTTGCGTATAAGTAAATGGAAGATTCAATTTTTTTGTTTTTAATACATTCTTTATTTTAATTTCAGAATTATATTACTAGGATAAAAATTATAACTTGTCAACAGAATTTATGTGTTGATTATCGATTGTTAAAAGGGAGTATCATCTTATTTTAGTGGGACACAAACGGTACCATCGGCGGGGAAGGGGGCACGATATCAGTGGAGCAGAACCGTCGTGTTGCAAGGTGGTAATGGGAGGCTAGAGGGGACGAGGTTGGTGTTCCATCCAGATTTGCAACAGGATCCACCGTAGGTGGTGTTGTCGCAGGGGCCACCGCAGCCGCGGCCGCTGCGGATGGGAGCCACCGCAGATGAAGGCGTCGCAGCAAGAGTCGCTGCTGACGAGTAAGGGGCCTGGCCCAGTGGTAAGAGCTCAATCTTAAAGAGGCCCATGTTTTAATTATTAAAGACCCATTAGTTTAATTGTTGAAGGCCCATTGTAATTACAAATAATAATTATGGTTGTTCATTAGTATGTAGTGTTTGTGCTTTGCCTTCCTCACAAATATACACATTGAGTTAGAAGACAGACTATATAATCAACAAGTTATCAACACCTTTAATAACAGATTGATGAGTTCAAAAACAAAATTTATAAATTATCTCCCAAAAAATGATGTTTTAATTTTGTCCATGGTCAAATACACGTTTTAATAATGTTTTGTATGGGATGGACAGATCGTAATCATACATCATAGGTTAAAAAATAGATATAATATATATATATATAAGGAAAATAACATGGACGGACGACCCATGAAAAATAAAAATGTATTGTATAATAGAAAGATAAATAATGTGATGAGTGAGATATAAAATGGACTCGCATTAAAATCCGATAATATGAACCAGTTTTAATTATCAATTTAATATTCATTTTTCTATTTAAAAATATTTATGTTCATTTAATTATACTAAATTATGATTTTTTTTCTTAAGCATTAGAGAGAGAGTTGTAACCATTAATTTTATTATTATTACTAGAAGAGAACCGCGCGATGCGCGGGTTTTTCATTTTTATTGTTAATATAATTTTTTTATTATGAAAAAATTATTGATATGAATATAGTAAAAAATATATTACATATCATGTTTAATAGTATTTTCTCCATATAAATAATTGTTGAAAAAGAAATGTTTAGCATAAGAATATTTGATTCATAAAAAATATAGTTAAATTAATATAAAAAAGAGATTATTTTTATAAAAATATATTAAATAATCTAGAGATTTATTTGTATTATAATATTTATCGTCGATAAATTTTTTATTTATACTATTAACAACTATAACAGTTCTTTTGATATTTACCATATCTGTTTGTATACAGATCACTACTTTAAGATTATCTTATACAAAAAACTCCAGGATGTTCTTTTGATATTTTTTGTATAATAATGTCCATTTGAACAAATTAAATACTATATGACTTGAAAAAACTTTCAATCTCTATCCTTATTAACACCATGTTATTCAATATATAAAAATAAAAAAAATAAAAAAAAAAATTGAAAATTGAAATATAAAAAGTGGAAGAATTTTGCAAATTGATATATCTATTGGGATTTAACAAATTCATATATTTTTTAAATTTTTTTACAGGAAATTGATGTATTTATTGAACTTTTTAAAATTAAATAAATAATTAAATATCAAAATAAATAAATCTATACATATATATACACATACATGTACATAATTATATACATATATTTATACATGCATATATCTATATAAATACACATATATTGATTTTTTTCACACGAATTTATGTAAATGTACCACTTTCTAAAAACTATCGAGCTTTGATATACAATACACTAAAATTTAAAATTTACCTCAATTCATTATTGAGTCTCGAAATAAGTAGCAATGTATATATGTGAATGGATCTGATTTTTAAATCCTATAATAAATTTAGTTTCGATTGTAGTTTTAAATTTAATAAATAATGATGATATTTATGATGACATATATTTATTTATAAATATTTTATATAGAGTTTATTAGATGTTAATATTTTCAAATATATTAAGATATTATATGTATGGCTAGATGTATGACATTATTATTGTTATTGTTATTTGAGAAATTTTCAATTATTATTATTATTACAATAAAAAATCTTTAAAAAAATACACAATTATAGCAAAGTTCTGAAATAAATACTAAACTTTTATTTACATAAAATAAAATGTATAAATATTAAATATACATGCATAAACATACAAACACATGTGCATATATATATATAATTTTTATGTCATATTTTTTTATTTATTATTGTAGTATATTTTTATTTTATTTGATATTCTGTTTAATATGTCAAATCAGATAAAAAAAATTGTGACGTCAAGTTTTATAATAATAATAATAATAATAATAGAAAATTCTATTAAAAACACGTAAATTGCTAAAATATTCTACATAAAAAAATAACTTATAAACTTTCAGATTTAATTATTTACTTGTTGAAAATGTCATAATCGTTGTTTAATTCATCGAGGTCTTCGCCATCACCACCACTTACCCATCATGCTCCTCCATCACACACTTCCATTGGGACTCTGCCCCTCCTCCATCTGATTATGTGAATCCAGCGTCTTCGATCATGTCATCTCCTCCCCCAACTCCATTGGACTTCAAACCTCCTCTCCCACCACCACTCTGAAGCCCACCACCTCCGTCGGATGATCCACCGCCGACCGATCCTACGCCTGTAGTATCCTCGCTGCTGCCGGCCCCGATCAAATCCACTTCCCCTCCTCCTCCACCAGCGGACCCTATAATGTAGGTTTAAAAAACGAAGTCAAAATAAAAACACTCTGTAAACTTGAAAAACAGAGAATAAAATTATAGTGAAGTTTTCGGCCAAAAAAGCTGAAACACCCTGCGTCAGGACCAGTGAAATCACCTCCGGCCCCACAGACAATCCCTCCGGGTTCTACGAGCCTGTTCCATGCACCACCTTCCATACTTGCTCTCCTCCAGGCATGCCGACTCAAGTCTCTGTAGCTTCCGTGAAGTTCACCGTACATGCGTTCGTCTAATTTCTCAGTCAAATCAGGTAAAATAAAATCTGCGTTTACATTTAATTTGATCATTTTTTCGAATAATAGAAAATAGAATTAATTATATTGTGGATGTTATACATTTTGCAAAATGAAACGCCGCATGGGTGGCTCAATCATTTAGATATTAGATTATTTATTCTGCAATGACGTTCACCAATTTGCAATGGTAATTAATCTGATCATTAGTTTTCCAAATAATAGAAAATAGAATTGATTATATTGTGGACGTAATTAAATTTGCAAAAGAAAACGGCGCATGGTAAGGGTTCAACCTTTTGGTTTTAGATGGATTATTAACTGTTTTCGTTCAGTGGGTCAATTTTTATTTTGCCAAACCAAAATATTTATTAATATCATCATTTTCCATGAACCCTTTAGCTTGGCATTTAATTATGTTGTTAATTTTTTGGTACTTGGCTTTTAAACCATTACCATTAAATCACTTCACGGTTTTGGAATGTAAAACAAAATATTAATACCACCATTAACTATTCGTTTTTTATCCAACATAAATTTAGCATTTAATTATATTTTTTATTTTGGGTTTTCAAGTCAAGACCATTAAATCATATCACCATTAACATAGGACACTTTTATTATATTGTATAATTTAAATATATTTTGAAATAAAAGTTTTGTAAATTAAAAGTGTAAATAAGATTTTATAAGCTTTTATATAAAATATTCTTATTATAAATTTCAAGATTATTATTATAGTAATCATTTTACAGTAAATTTTGTAGATATGAATTTAGTAAAAAAATAATTCTTTTTATAAAAAAGATTATATTTGTTTTTTAACAATAATATGGTATTTTTTTGTTCTTACATGTATCACCTGATTCTTTAAAATATCTATTTCTCTTTAATTTGTATTTTAATTCCTTGGCATTAAATCACATCGACACCATATAACATTTAAAAAACATATTCTTGTTAGTACATTAACTATTATATGTAGCTAATGAAGCGTTTGATTAACCAATCAAACCAATGAAGATCAATGATTTTGCTACATAAATGATGATTTGGAATAACTCAATGCATAGATTTAAGAATTTTTAATAAGTTGAAAGTTCTGATAAATATAACTATTATATAATAGTTATCCAACTTATTAGTTAAGCCTAATTAATTATTTCCACACGACATATATATATATATATATATATATATATATATTATTAATTTAATCACATACCATGATTTAAAAAATATATTATTCATAATTTATTTCATTATAATCTTCTTTAAAATTTCAATTTTTTATGCGTGTGCAATTATGAATTGTCTAAAATAAGAAATTATAAATATAATATTACATACTTTGAATATTAGTCACATTCATGTAGCTTTTTTTTAATTGAACAAATTGTATAAGCACAATAACTTGTTATTAAAATTAATATAGATAAACACATGCATAATCTATTAAAGATACAAATCTAATCAACATAATATAAATAATAAAAAAATTAAAAGTATATGCGAATATGCATCCTGCGGAGACGTTTTTGGTGAAGGAACTCCAACCCTCTCGAAAGCCAGCCATTTGTAGATTTAAATGAGAGATTAGCATGGGTGGAAAGAACATTGTTAAAGTGTTATACCTTTATATACACACATGAAAGGGTAACGAATGATTCTGGTTAATACATCGAGAATGTAAACATTTAAAAAAAATACTACATACAGTTATAGAATTAGAGGGTTAAGAGGGAGAGTGACAGAAGTAAATATGAAAATGTTTAGAGGAAAACTAATATATTGACACGAAGACATCAATAATATAGATCAATTAGACGAATGCGTAAGAATAACAAACCAAATAAAAATTGCAAATAACCAAAACATATTATATAGATACCTTTAGAAATAGATGATGGCGCGCACCAAAAAAACATTCATGTTAAAACCAAATTGGTTTTCCTTCTTCGAATCTCTTAATACATATGGATCACCATCAAAATAAATGTGTAATATTGTGAAGCAATTGGGTAGTGACTACTGGATTACTATATATAGAATCAAATTAACAAATTGAAATTAATTAAAAAAAGAGCAAATAATAAATGTGATAATTAGTGGGGTAATAATATGACGTTTGAATAGCCCATCGTTTTAATTTTTTTATTTTATTAAATATCAACATAATGAGATATGATTAAAAACCAATTTCTCCTAATCTGACGCTATTAGGATGTGGTTGCTTGCAAGTAATAATTATTTAAAATCAAAGTCCGTTATTTAAAAAAAAATCAATCCGTTATCTCGATCAAACTAAATGTTATTTATGATAATCACTTTCTTTTTCATAACCGTCATTTCAAAATTTATAATTAGACAAAATATACATTATTTTAAAATTATACATTTAAAGAAAAAAAATCTATATATAATTACACATATATATATATATATATATTCCATATATATATATATATTCATACACATAGACATATACATTACATACATACATAATTTTTTGTGTATCCAAAATTATATATTACATACACATACTATATATACATACACACGTATAGATATATATATAATAAATTTTTAAATGCAAAATCATATGATAATCTGATTACTCATTTTTTTGTAGCTTATATGTTATAATATTTTATAAAAATCTATACATAATTACACACATATATATATATATTCCATATATATATTCATACACATAGACATATACATTACATACATACATAATTTTTTGTATATCCAAAATTATATATTACATACACATATTATATATACATACACACATATAGATATATATAATAAATTTTTATATGCAAAACATATGATAATCTGATTACTCAATTTTTTATAGCTTATATGTTATAATATTTTATAAAAATATATTTTTATATAGAAAAATGAATGATAGTCTAATTAAAAAATATAGTTAAAGAAAATTTTAAATAATAAATAAAAATTATCACATGGATGATGAGATGGATAATCTAATTAAATGTTTATACTAATGAAGATTTTTAATAACCAATCAAGATCTCAAAAGCTTCCACCTAGGATGTTTAGGTGTCTTCACCAAATCTCTTTAAACTTCTTTATTAATATATATAGATTTTTCTATTTATTTGTTTTTATTTTTCAAAATTAGTATTTGGATATTTTAATAGGCCAGAGTGTTCCCGCAAATGGGAACCAAAAGGAAAACTAAGGCCCGAAAGAAAACAATAAATGGGCCGAAACATGGCCACGCGATGAGATTGAGGTATAATGAATTCATGACTTGAGAAAGGTGTAGGTTTATAGAATTTTTTTTTTAATATCCGAGAGAGTTTTGTGAGAAAAAAAAATAATTACAAAAAACAAAAATACTGTTGGACTGTCTGAAAGGCCAGTGTCCGAAAACATTACATCAGTTGAGTGGCCAACGTGACTTGACTGAGATGCTCGTGATTACAGTCGGCTTCGGCTCTTTCCCGAACGGGTTTCAGTTTGTATAATATGAACACGATTTAAAACGGGTTGCAAAACGTCTGTGTCGTCTCAAATTCGAACGTTAAAGTTAAGAAGAGACATATTCTAAATTATATGGCTGGTTCTCGACTCCAAAATGAGTTTGACGTTGGTTCAAAACATTCGGTTATCCGAAAAAAAAGAAACATTCTTCAGGCGAGTGGAAAATCTGTTCTTGAAACAGCCGTGGCATTATTGCAATACACGAGAAGAAAGCCAGCAACTTGTGTAGTTCTGTTGGATGTCTGACATAAAAAAAAAACATAAAGTCAGTTTTTTTTTGTTTTGTGATTGCAGTTATGCGATGTTGGTTTTATAGATTTCGTTTTTAAAAACTGTTAATGCAGAAACGTTTATTTATTTCATAAAAATCGTGGGCAATATAATAACTTTCGGGCAGAGAGTTGTGTTTGTGTGTTTTTGGACAGAGAGCTGCAAACACTTCCAGTTTCAAGTTCAACAGATACAACGACGACGGAAACAAACCCAACGGCTATATTCTCTGTTCAGCAAGAACATATATTCTTCTTCCACAAGAACGAGATCTCCAAACGAGCCGGGGGCTCGTTAAAGTCAGACAAGTTAACACCCTTTGGTCTCTAAATCCAGATGGAAACAACCCAAAAAAATCCAGTTTTACAGAGAAAAGAATCAGACTCCATCAATGGGGGGATTGCCTTCCAGCTATGAATTTTGGGCGGTGTTGAAAAAGAATGGTTTATCGACAAAAGGATTTAAAACCCCGAAATCCGGCCTCACATGGTGCTGCTGCTCTCGCTGACGGAGTCGGATGGCCTCCCCCCGAAGTTGGAGCCGCCTCTGCCACAGCTGCTGATGTCGAGCCCCTGTAACCGGCCAAGAGGGTCGTACTGCATTGCTTCCGAGAAGGAATTCAGCAGCGGCTGGTGGGCAGAGGCCGTCATGTTTGCGCTGTTTGGAATGCCGTTGTTGGGTCGGAAGAGGTGAAACTGTTGAGGAGCCATCTGCATGTTCTGAGCATTGGAAGGGGACGCTGCCGCCCGAGTCAGAGGTTGAAAGAACGACTGAGGGTATTGCATGCAGCCTGGTGCTATCCCGAGGTTATAGGCATCGCCATGTGTTTCTCCGGTTACGAATTTCAGCCTATCAATTTCCTTCTTCAGCTCCTCGTTCAGTTCTGCATCGTAAAAGAAAGGGGCTTATCGAAATTTGAATGAATATTTGTTACCTAAAAAACTTGGGATTAAAGCGATGTTGATGTGATGATCGATAACTAACATGGTATCCCAAGCAAAACAATTCATCCGTTATAACATGTCAAAGTTACATACATTTTCATGCATATACGTAAAAAAACCGTTCGGTTACGGGCAAAGGTCTAATACACATGTCAAACATGTCCGAATTCACGAGGAGAAGAAGAATCGAGAACTCCTAAGTGATGGGACTTTTAAGGTAAAGGTTTTCAAGTTTGAACAATACCATCTCGCAGCTTAGCATGCTGTTCCATGGTCTGTAAACGAACCTTGAGCTCTGTATTCTCAGACGACAGACCATTCGTGTCTCTCTATAACAAGAGAAAGCAGTGAAACAAATTGTGAAATACGTTGAAGGAACATTATATACATCGAAAAATAAATATCGAAATACGGTGCATTAATATCCGTTTCTTGCAAAAGGGAAAAAACATAAAAACTTGCTTCATTAGGAAACTTTCGATGATGATTATGATAAGAACCTGGAACAGAGAGAGTTGAGCCGACAGAGTCGTAGCTTCGGTTTGGAGGGTCTGGACTTTTCTCTCGAGCTCCAATATATAGCGAGCCTTCCTCTCTTTCGAGCGAGCAGCAGATTGCCGATTTGCAATGATCCTACATAGGAATAAGACGGTCATCACTGAATGCCGCGTTTAATAGTTTACGGAAACGCGGATAAATTTCTTATTAGAAAACCTTATTAGACATAACGAGCGGAAAATGTCACGTTAAACACATTAAAAAGATATTACCAAGCCTAAAGCTCGTCCCATGCTCTCATAGTACGTCATAACAACCTAAATCCTTTCATCGGTATGTCGCCATGCAAAAAGAAATACGAGGAAAATAACTACGTGACCTAAAAAAAGAAAACGCGACTTCAAAGGAATTTCCCGAATGAAAACATTCTCTTCCCGCATATTTTTAAGACAGATTATACAACCGTTGAGAGTTTCGATTTCGTTACTAGTTTCACTTTAGCAAGCATTACACAAAACTTTAACTGTTACCAACTTATCATCGTCCCGATTGAAATGAAAAGAACGTTTGAAATCTGCAGCAGAAACCCTAAACCACGTAAAACTCGGAAACCCGATATTCTACCCAAAGACAAACAGTAAAACACTACACTGCCAAATAAAAGCATGCAGCTGCTATAATAAAGCTAAGGCTGAACCTCATTTCCGATACAAGATCCTACTTGCCTCGAAAGCTTATTCACGATACGAGATTGAGCGACAACATACTCTACCGGTAAATAAACATTTCCCATTCCTTATGAACTGATCAATACCATAATTTGGCAGCTAAATGGCAAACTTGATTATAACAAGTAATGATCAAATGACTGCAAAACAAAATAAGGATTGACTAAACAAGCTTCCATCAACCAACCAAACAAAAAGCTGTCCAAAAGATTTTAGGGGCCATTGTATTTTTTTTTTCTCCATATGAAAGAGACATTCCACAAATTTCTAACTGAAGATTAAGCGGAAAGTATATATGGGCCCCTCATGGTATTTGCCCCTCTACTTATAACAGTTCATAAGGAACCATAACATAACACGACCTCAAAAAGAAAACAGCAAAGGAGCTAACTTTATTTCTTTGGAATTTCGTTTGAGGATCAGAGGCTGAAAAAGGTTGATTTGGGTACGTAATCAAGAGAAAATATCACAAGGAACGCTAAGCCACACCCTGATGAACATCCAAAGTCACTTGGTCTACCTAACCAGAACGGTCCATTTACACAAATCAAAAGGTTATAAAGTGACCGCCTTTCTCCTCAAATTCTGACAATTTCCCGCGTGTTATAACCAAACGGGAACCTTTCTCACGATATAACAGGAATCGGATTTCATCAGATCGTATCAAAAGATCAGAATTCAAGTCAGCTTCTTGGGGGAGAGACAGTAATTGAAAATCGGGAACAAATCGGATAAAAACGGCGGAAAAGAAACCTTTTAGCCCTTTTGGGGTCGGCGACCCAGAGCTCGGCGAGCTTATCAGGAGCCATGGCTTTCTTGGCTTCGATCGACTCCAACGAAGACCCATCAACGGAGAGGCTGTGCCTGTGCCTGGGCTTGGAATTTCCCGCCTCGTCAAAGCCTCCACCGCCATTTTCCCCCAGAAGAGGGTTATCGGATCTCAGTCCGGCCGAATCAGAAGCGGATCCGGATCCGGATCCGAGCTTCTCAATGTCCATGTACGAGCAAAAGAGGTCGTCCTCGGATCCGAGGTCATCGAATCCGCCGAATGGGTCCGACAGATCCATGTCCTCTGGGAGCCGGAATTGCACCTCCGAGTGTGCCCGCCGGTGGTACGGACCCCGGAACGGCGTCGGAGTCGGCGCCGGAGGAACAGCAGATGGGTTCGCCAAAGGAGGAGTAGGGCATTGTGGACGGTGGTGATTGCTCGGGTTCGGTTTCGCGTTTGAAGGATCCTCCATGCCCGAATCGTCGCTCTCTCTGTCGGAATCGGACAGCAAGAGAGAGAGAGAGAGAGATTCAGATTTTCACGTCCACGTTGAGCTCTGTCCGAAAGGTGACGTGAAAACACGAGAACAGATTCTAAAACGCCGTCGTTTCGTGCGTACTGTCGTTAATTTACAACATAATCTGCTATTTAGGGTAAAACAACTAATTAAGTTTCTTTTCCTCTTCGGGTAATAAAATAATCAATTAAGTTTCTTGATAGGCATTGTAACATTAATTGTTCAGATTTAGTTTATGCATGTTTAGCTTTTAGGGCTAATACATGAGGAATCCAATAACATTAGCCAGTCATTATCGACCGATGCTACGATATACAATATATACATATCTTCTTGAGTCGACCATAACTCATTCGCTATTTTTTTTTTTTTGATGAAACTCATTCGCTATTTTGAGTGTGATAGATAATATTTTTTAATGTTTGGGTTTAGGGGAAATTAGAGACTATAATCGATAATTTAAATAAATATACATATTAATCGACAAATATGTCTAAGTTACATTAGATAAAAACAAAGACTTTTAGGCATATTTCTCACACACATATACATATATATATATATATATATATATATATATATATATAATCAATCTGATCACATATCTCGAATAATAATGCAAAATGTAGTTTCAAAAGAATTTTACGAAAATTTTGAATTTTTTTTTATAAATCACGATATCTTAAATAACGTTGTAAAGTAACATTTTTAAACCTTCTACATTTATGCTAATATTCGTTTCTCTATAAATTACCATACGAAAAGGTAAAATATTAACTTCAAAAGATCGGAATGCATTGGTTTGAAGCATCGAATTTCGACATGAGGCATTGTATCGACTAATTGGGTAGTATGTGTTAAGGGGTCGACTAGTTGGACCGTTATCACCTGCAAACGGAGTCGTTGCAGTTTTTGGTGGGTAGTGGCAGTTGAAATACCGACTGGTAAAATCGCAGAGAAACGCAATCGTAACAAAACCTTAAAAATCAAAACACTGCTTTTTAGGTACGTTTCGATAGCGTTTCCATGCGTTTTAAGAAAAAGACAAAAATACCCTTCTTAAAAATTAAAAAGATAACCCTAACTCTATCACGTAATACACCCAAGTTCAACTCTGTCGACGTCAAACCCAAACTCTAACTCTCTCTGTCGATCAGGATTCTCTCTCCGTTCAGATCGCCGAAGCTCGTCGGAACTCGTCGGAGTTCATCTCCGTCGCCTCCAGGTATGTCTCTTTTTATCTTATCGTCTTTCTCAATCTGAAATTTTCGGTTTTTGTTTGAGTATTTGGGTTTGTCCTCTTTGTCTACCTTTGTTTTTGTTTCATTTTGTGTTTTGTTTGATTGATTCTATGTTAGCTTTGTCTAGTTTTGTATGTGTTTCCTCGCTAAATATGTCTCTGTTTGAATCTTTGGATCGATACTCTGCATATGCATATCCCGAGACTGAAAAAATCTGAACAAATCCTTTGAAGTTCATCCCGTTTTTGGATGTAGATTGTGGAGATGTATAACTGTTGTAGTTGAGAAATCATGGCAACCGCTATGTGGTTTGGATTATCATGCTCTGCCTATTCCCATGTGTGAGAATAAAGAAGGTAGCGAAGAGAATGAGATGCCAACTACAATGCAAGATTCTACACATGGTTTTGTTGATATACATGAGGTACAATCAATGTCAGAGATGTCAAATTCTTCAAACAGGTAAGATAATGCAGAGGCACCTATCCGACCATCTAGTAGAGCAAATCTGAATGTGGGTCAAAAGAAAAAGTGCAAGCGTACACCTATGGAGACCACAGTCGAATGCATTGCTAGATCCATGGAAGAACGCAATGTGTACTTGGAGCGATTGACATCAAGGCATGAAGTGCAAGTGCAACAAGAGTCTTCAATTGAAGAACGTATGGCCAATGTTGTGAATGTAATTATGGTTGTACCTGAACTGGTTCCCTTGAGTCCTCTCTATTGGGCTTCTTTGAATTTGATAGCTACAAATGAGATAATGCGGGGTGTGTTTTTAGCTCTTCCACACGAACAAAAGTTGTGATTCCTTATGGTTCAGACCATAGAGTCTCGTAATAATGTAGAGGATTAGAGTGGTTCTTAGTTTAAGACTTGACTTTAGTTATATTTGCTCGATGTTTATGTTGGTCATATGGGTGTTTACTTTTGTCAGAACTTATATATAATTCTCATGAATGAAAATGTTATTTCAAAGATTGATAAATTTTCTAGTGTTAATGTGTTACATTATTATTACAGGAAAACAATTATGAAGATTTGTAGACAATTGTAGAAACGATTACAAAAGATGATAATGATGTGATTACTATATTAGTTGGTATGCATCCTTTGAGGTATTGTTTAAATGAAAAAATCAGAACCGACCCAGAACGAGGATTGCGGATAATGCATCAATTGATGTATGAGAGTGATGCTCAATGCCTTTATTTTCTACGAATTTGAAAGTCGGTGTTTCATTGCCTTTTAAGAAAGCTAAAGGAGTATGGACTTCAAGAATGCCATCGTGTGAGTGCCGAGGTAGTTTTAGGTATGTCATTGAAGATATTGAGGCATAACATATCGCAAAGAGTCATAGCAGGAGATTCCAAGTTTCGCAATGGACAGTAACAAGTAAATTTGATGAAGGTCTTACGGCATTATGTCGCTTGCATGCAGAGAATGTTTTTTTTTTATGAAAGTGATGTATATTACTTTAGCAAAAATGTACAACCAGTCCATGACTGTATACATAAGGAACCCATAAACAAATGGTCAAAATATAGCCGAGACAATCAAACAGTCTAACCGTCTAACAACAGAGGTGTAATGTCTAGGGTGGTCTCGAGTAGCGAGTAAGGTAGTACCAATCAGCTAGGAGGGATGAACTAGCAGATGAGGGAGTGCACTTACAAGATAGGAGGACAGTACGCATAACGCGGTCGACTTTCCATCGCAGATGCGGGATCGAATGGGCAATGTTTCGGAAGATCCTGTGGTTTCTTTCCTTCCAGATTTCATACACTGAGATCTGAAGTAATAGTTTGGCAATGGTCTTCCTTCCACCGGTTGTGTCGTTAGGCATGCTGTTGAACCACTCCACCATCTCCGATGTGTTTTGTGGTATTCTGGGCCAGCAAACCTCCGCGAAGTGACTCCAAACGTTGGAGGCATAGCTGCACTCATAGAATAGATGGTGGTGAGATTCAACGGCCGAGTTACACAACCTGCAAAGCGTATCCGAGGTGATTCCCCATCTGCAGAGACGATCTTTCGTAGGTAGACGTTGCAACATTACTTGCCAAAGAAGGGTAGCGTATCTCGGAATACCAGCCGAGAACCAAACAATGGAGTGCCAAGGTCTTGGTTCTCTACAAAGTCTGATGTGATTCCAAGTTCTAGAGGAGGAGAAGTACGGCCTGTAGTCATTCCCTTTGAATTTCCACAAAACTATGTCAGGTGGGTTGCTAGCTGCAGGAGGTTGAATGGTAGAAATGTGCACAAGCATTTGCTGGATTCTGTCATTCCGAGCTCCTGACAAGGACCAAGAACCCTCGGTGGCAGCCTCGCTCACAGATGCCGACAGTGGTAGCCTTAAGCTGCGCGGTCCAGCCTCCCCCACAAAGTCAATTAGCGGGCCCAGATCGGTCCACGGATCGTGCCAGAACGATGCTACTTGACCATTACCAATCTGGAACTTCAGCATCTGCTTTACCAAATCCTTAATGCTCAACAATTTCTGAAAGTTCCACGAAAAACGCGACGAATGCTCACAGTTCCAAAAGCCCTTATTCCTGAAAATGTTTTCTTTCACCCATGCGACCCACAAGGAACCCGATTTCGAGAATAAGAGCCAGATTAGCTTCAGCCGAAAGACTAGATTAAATTCTGTTAACTTGCGTAGCCCCAGCCCTCCTTCCCGTTTAGGCTGGCAACACGAGTCCCATGATATCCTATGTCCTCGAGATCCTTCAGAGTTTGAACCCCATAAGAACCCAGAACACAAGCTGTCTACCTGTTTTGTGACGAACTTCGGTAGCAGGAATATCATACTCCATGCGTTCACTAACCCGTAGATGACTGTAGCCACCAACTGGATTTTCCCTGCGTAGGATAGAGACCTGGTTGACCAAGAGTTGAGTTTCGCTTTAACTCGCTCGAGGAGAGGTTGGTAGTCAGATTTGCTAAGCCTAATTGGGCTCAGCGGAACTCCTAGATAACGGACCGGCAGAGAGCCTCGGTTGAACCCAACAGTCCTGCAGATTTCAGCTTTCTCAACCTCTGTCATCCCGCCAAGAAACAATTTTGTTTTTTCCAAGTTCAGACTTAATCCAGAAAACCCGTTGAATGTTTCCAAAATGGCTTTAACTTCCTGGAGTGAACCACAATCTCCTGCAGTGAATATCATTATATCATCGACAAATGCTATGTGGGTTACAATTGGAGAGTGGCATCTGGGGTGAAGGCGGAATCTATTTTGCCTTGCACTGGAGTTTAACATCCTCGAGAGTATTTCCATCGAGAGAATGAACAAATAAGGTGATATTAGATCACCTTGTCGGAGACCCCTTCTCCCCTTAAAGAAAGGATTTTATTGAGTTATCAAAACCCGTTGAATGTTTCCAAAATGGCTTTAACTTCCTGGAGTGAACCACAATCTCCTGCAGTGAATATCATTATATCATCGGCAAATGCTAGGTGGGTTACAATTGGAGAGTGGCATCTGGGGTGAAGGCGGAATCTATTTTGCCTTGCACTGGAGTTTAACATCCTCGAGAGTATTTCCATCGAGAGAATGAACAAATAAGGTGATATTGGACCACCTTGCCGGAGACCCCTTCTCCCCTTAAAGAAAGGATTTTATTGAGTTATCAAAACCTGTTGAATGTTTCCAAAATGGCTTTAACTTTCTGGAGTGAACCACAATCTCCTGCAGTGAATATCATTATATCATCGGCAAATGCTAGGTGGGTTACAATTGGAGAGTGGCATCTGGGGTGAAGGCAGAATCTATTTTGCCTTGCACTGGAGTTTAACATCCTCGAGAGTATTTCCATCGAGAGAATGAACAAATAAGGTGATATTGGATCACCTTGCCGGAGACCCCTTCTCCCCTTAAAGAAAGGATTTTATTGAGTTATCAACAATAGTTCGACACGACAAGAGATATTTTCCGTATTTTAGAGATTGTATTGGAGCATTGGATGGAACTCATGTGTCGGTGCTTGCTAGTGGTAAAGATAAGATCACATATTGGAACCATAAAGAGTACACATCGATGAACATCTTGGCAGTGTGTGACTTCAAAATGAGATTTATATATATATGTATTGGAGTTCCGGGTCGTGCACACGACACAAAGGTATTAACAGAGTGTGCAAGACACGATGAATATTTTCCATTTCCAGACTCAGGATAATATTTTCTTGTGGACTCTGGTTATCCTAATCGGAAGGGTTTTCTTGCTCCTTATCAAGGTGAACCGTATCATCCTAATCAGTTTTCTGGACGTCGACCAAGAACTATGCATGAAATGTTTAATAAGATACATTCTTCTTTGCGTTCGGTAATAGAGAGAACATTTGGAGTTTGGAAAGATAAATGGACAATCTTGAAGGTCCCCCTCATTATAACATAAAGATTGTTGCAGCTACCATGGCACTCCATAATTTCATTCGAGATTGTCGGGAGGAAGATATGGATTTCACTGTTGCCGAAACTACCGAAGATTATATTTCCGAACCCACTAGAAACACGTCTCTATCACGTTATGATATGGACAATGATCGATTCTATGATGCGACAACGGATGAATATATGACAAATGTTAGAGATGGGATCGCTAAAGAAATATGGGATACGACAAACTAATATTAGTATTTATTATGTTTTTTTTATTTCAATTGTCTAATACATTATGTTTTATGTAAAATATTATTTATATTTTGTTGATGATTTTGTTTAGTATTATAATTTGAGTTTAATTTTTTTGATATTATGATTTGAGTATTTTTTTTAGATTTATCAATAATTATTTTGAATATTTATAAAATTATTTTTTAATAAAATATAAATTAAATTGATTAAATTTATACTTCAAAATATTTTTATATAATTATTTATAAATTATATAAAATATTTTTTGATCAAATGATAATATAAAAATTATTTACAATTAATTTAAAATATTATCTTAAACTCGTGTATTTTTTTGGTAATTTATATCAAAACACAACTACAAACGTTGACAACCATTCACTTCTACCCGCAATCAACCGTAATCGCCACCAACAACTATTTACCAATCAGTTAGTACCAACCCGCCACAACCGCTATCAAACATTTTGAAAACGCTACCAACCGCAACCGCAGCGGTACAACCAGTCGGGTCCTAAGTATATCATTCGAATAAATCCGGACTGCAACTTATCCGTTTCAGTTTTTCTATGCCCCAAACTGTTGTTATATGCAGGAGCCTATTTAGATTTGAACAATTAGGAAGGGTAAGTTGTTCAATGCCTTATATTTTCCTTCATTCTCAGTGGCCCACAAACATATATCATTTCATTGCATCATTTGTCACCTTACCAAACAACGAAGAAGGTGTTGTACAATAGAGTGTTTACTAATCTCAATATACATAAACTGTGTTTACATAACTGACTTAATAAATTCGGCTAGCAAACTATAATCATAATGATAGACAATACTTTTGTAGTATTTATACCTTAACAGCTTCACCGTTATTTATGATTCTTCCTCAAAACGGTGCTTACTTTCTCTCTTAGAACCCTCTAATTACTTTAGTGATTCCTCTTTGTAAAAAAAACCCTTTTAAGTACTTTTAGATTTTTAAGGTTTATGGAGATTAGAGATTATAATTCATTTTAATTGACATTTATGTCTTAGCTACACTGCATACAATCAAATAGTGGACGTTTGGGCAGATTTCATACACATATATATATACACAAATAATACATAGCAGTGACTACTGCCTACTAGACAAACAAGCTATATGATACTACTTTCGAAGCAGTAATTACTTAATTTTGTATTTTATAATTTCCATGCTTAACAACATACACGTGATGGAAAATAAATTGGTATTGCATGAGGCTGAGCCTCAATCGGTAGCTTTTCGGTGGAGGCCCAATAACATTTAAATACTAAAGCCCACGATGAGTTAAAAGCCCAACCAAAAGCCCATATTCTCATTACCAAATATTACAGCATGGAAATGACGTGGAAAATTAGAAAATCGACTTTTCTGATGACGTGGATATCCTCACCAGCCGATGAGGCATCTAAGCGCGTGCTCACCCAAGCCTTGCACGCAGCCAAATCGCGTCGCCACGTGGTTCCCCTTTCCTCATCCCCAGTCGTCAGATCAATGTCCAACGGTGAAGATCAAATCTGGCCAGTCGGTCTACGGTGTACAGCGATGCAGACGATTATGACACCTTTAGACTTTCCACGTAACGTGATGCGTAGGTTAATCCTATTTCATACGGGATTTAACATCGCTAAATCTCAACCGTCCAATTCGCAACTTACCAATTCATGCTGAGTTTTTGAATAATAATATAATTATTTGGACTCTGTTTGGATACGTCACTGATACTCATAAAGAAAAGGCAACCAGAAGAACAAGAAACCGCCGAAGATTCGAATATATATTTACAGGAATTGGGCGCTTGAATCGAATTGGGCCATTCTTGAATCCGTTTTCTGGCGATATTACCCTGTCTCCGATCTCACTGCATTGCCTTCCGGCCGGTGATATGGCGGCCTCTGCGAGGATTTGTTGTGGCGGAAGCGGAGGAATCGTCTGCAATCGGGGGACGGTGATCGCTCGATCGCCGTCGTGCATGGCTTCGATTTCCCGCCGCCGGAATCGTAGGTTGTCCGGGATCGGAAAGATCTCAATGTCGTTGGAGAAAACAGCGGTGAAATTGGAAAGGAGGGGGATGAACGGAGGAGGAAGAGACGGCGGAGCCGTCGTGTCGAGGGAAAAGGTCGACGAGTGGATGAGGGATTCGGTGGTGGAAATCGTGAAGAACCTGAGGGAAACACCGTTGTTGATCAACGTTTACGCCGGAGCGAACGGATCTCTGACATCGACGGCGGCGACGGCGGCGGAGGACTGGCCGGTGGTGAAGGGAAGGTGGGAGAGAGGGGAAGAACGGAAGCCGGAGGGCGTGATATTCGTGGAGAAGCTCGGCGAAGGTGACGTCGCGGATCGGGATGCAACGTGCGTTGAGGACGTCAGCCACGGAGGCGCGTGCGGGGAAGGGACGAGCGCGTGGGGGATAGTGGCGCAGGGGAGGGGAATGGACAGTGGGCCGGTTTGCTATCTGCTGAAAACGACCCGGGTCGGGTCCGGTTTAGGGCCGGTTTGCACGCATTTCTGTTTGGTTAAGGTGAAGGGATTTAGGGAAACGGCCATATCGCAACTGAACAACTGCTGGTTGGTGCAATATGGGCAATGAAGTAACGGCACACTACACAGCGTGGCCGTGGACTGATTGATTTCGTTAGAAGCAGAGGATCAAATTATGTACATTATTGGACCATACATTCTTAAATACATTGATATGTTCTTCACTCTTACCCTGATTAACTATTGAACGTGTGAACAATGTGTGTATTATTACATATAATGCCATTGTCATTAGTGTATTCAAGCTCATGTCCATGATGGGATTTGCACTTATCCGTAATCAGATACAACTATTGCATCTCAGCCTACACGCAAAATACTGATAAATACTTAAAAATATCCAAAATTTCAAGAGTTTTCAATTTAGAATGCAAAATTTATGTATAATTTATCTAAATTCTAGAAAATATGAATATCCATAAATAATATACATTTCGGTAAACATATAAAAACCCGTACCTAAGATTGTGTAAGAAAACTCGGAGTATGGACTGTATCATTATAGGTAGTGAGCTAATTAAATGTGGGACCCATGGATGACCTATATTCTTCCGTGTTCAAGAGATATCTAACTGGATTGGGTTCACACGGATTCAACCAAATCTAATCATAATGTGGTTTAGATTGTTGATTTGGGCCAAAATCATTCAATGGATTAAATGTGTTTTAAACCAATTTAATGGGTTTAATTTGTGAGCCCAATTAAATCATTCATACTTTATTAAAATATATATCTATGGTTTAACATTGGTTTAGTTTATTTTGGTTTTGTTAGGGTTTAGTAGATGGTTTCTTCTTCTACCATTGTATTTAAGGAAGAACTTGTTATTTTGATCAATGAAATATAGAAAATTTCCCAGTTTCTTCTTCCATTCCTAAATTTTCTCTAGCATCCAAAATACTTATCAAATAGATTTTAACCCATTAATACTTATACCTAAATTTAGTCAAAGTATCTCATCGATCTGTTTTTCTCTATCTCTCATTGTTGGTCGATCCTTAAATCAATTAATAAATTTTTGGTTTAAACCATTAAATCATTGTCAAGATGATGTTAATCATTGATACATAACACGTGTTATGTATTTGGTTTAAATGGATTAATGGATTGATTTATTTTGATTTGTGTTGGATATTTTTTTTTGTGTGATTTATTTAATTTTAAAATTTTATTTATTTTTTAATAATATTTTTATTAGACGAATTATATTTTATGAAGTATCATTAATATATAATCATGTATATTTTTATGTATAATTATCTAATTAATTTATAAATTATTCATGCTCAAATGGCTGTTTGATATTTGTTTGGGCCGTGGGCTTTTTTTTATGATTCTCATAAGGCCTCGTTTATGAAAATCGTTTAGTCCAAATGATCATGTTGAAAGTGATGATCGCATAATATAAGTCAGTCACAATGCATTAACACTGTATAAAATAATTGTTTTACAAAAACAATTCTAATATCTTTTGATATCATGGTTAACTCATAAATTTTTTTATGAGATATAAATTCAGCATTGAACTGTACTTTTTGTTGTCAAGAATATTCCACAAATTCATGATAAATTTATCCCAAAAATCAAGTTTGAATCCATGAATTTAATTAACCAGACGACAAACATATGCTCATACCACACAATTACACCTTCAAATGAAATCAAAATATATGTACAGTGGTGGATTAAGAACAGTTTTTCGACAATACAAAAAAAGAAATAGAAAATATTACTTTCATTTTATAAAAACCCAATATGAAATAAATAGAATATATAATACATTAAATTTATGGGTTGATGCATTCATAAAAAGAATACACAGGACAAATTAGCTGGTCAGCAGCAGCACAACGAGGACGTTTGCATCTTATTATAATTATCGAGCTTCGTTAATGGCGCCCTTCTCTTTAATTACACTTCCACACAACTCTCTTTCTCCCTAGATTTTAGGGTTTTGATTTTGGGGGTTAATTCCCAACTCGGAAGAAGTAAAAAAGAGTGTTCCACTGTCTTGGGCCTTGATAAAGCCAGATGCGATGGAAGGAAGAACGTGGGGTTTCAGACAAGCTAGGCATGGTGGCATCATGCATGGTCAAACCCTCGAAAAGCTGTCTCCTTCCCTCCTTTCTCGGCCATTGAAACTAATTCTATGGAAAACCCAGTCGGATTCCGCATTTAATATGCCGATTATTTTAGACATTGCTCAGTCCCATGCACATGGCTGCGGGCAAAGTCATTCAATGCAAACGAAGCTTCTTACACCTACAGTTTACGAAGCTTCTTCCTGCTCTTTGTTATTCTCAAGAAACCCTAATTTCCTCTTCCTCTTCTTCGGCCGCCATATCGAGACACTTGTCTGAAAACTCAGGAGCATTCTTGATGTTTGGATAAAACGAGTTTGACCAGGTAATAAGAAAAGCCAACTTGGGTTACTCGGAAAATGATTAAAAGATCATTAAGAAGGGTCCCAAATTTTGGAACCCGGAGAAGACAAATCCGGCAAACCCTAAACCAGACAGGAGAAGGAAGAAGAAGAAGAAGAAGCTACAGACACAGTCAATACAAGAAACACTCAAAAACAGAACATAACATCAAAAAAACATTACAGACAAAAAAAAACATGGAGATGAGATTACAAAACAAATGAACAAACCGGATTCCTCTTCGCCGGACATTTTTCCTCTCTCAAGTCTTGTGAATATGTTAGTTATGTTTTTTTTTTCAACTCGAACCCAACTCGTCCGAGCTACCAGACGGGCATCTGATCATCTTCAGAATGTTGACAACCTCTCCCATGTCTGGCCGGCTCGACGGCACCTGAGAGGTGCAGATGAGTCCCAGCTTGATGACGGGAACCGCTTCTTCAGTCGGAAACTTACCCTGCAACCGTGCATCCACGCATTCTTCTGCCCTTCCATCTTCAAGAGCCTCCCTCACCATATCGCATAGAACCACGACGTCATCTTCCATGTATTCCACTGGCCTCTTACCGGTCACAATCTCGAGAACCAACACTCCGAATCCATAGACGTCGCATTTCTCCGTTATCTTCACTGTTTTACAGGCAAACTCCGGAGCCATATAGCCGAGAGCACTCTGAATCTTGCTGCTCAGTACGTACCGGTCAAGCATTGGCAATAGCCTTGCCAAGCCGTAGTCTCCGACCTTAGCCTCACCTGAGCTGTCGAGCAAGACATTGCTCGATTTGATGTTGTAGTGGATTACGTTCGATTGGTGCAAGTAGGCTAAGCATTTCGCTGTACCGAGAATTATGTTGAACCGATCGTTCCAAGAAAGCAGGCTACCTCCCGATGCTTCGTGCAGGTGTTTGTACAAACTCCCACCAGACAGGAACTCGTAAATCATGAGCTGCAACGATGGTGTCCAGTAATACCCTTCGAGGTTCACAAGATTGGCATGCCTGAGTTTTCCGAGTTTCTTGACCTCCCTTTCAAAGTCTTCCTGGGACTTGACAAGGCTCGAGACAGTAAGCTTCTTGATAGCGACAGGACAACCATCCCGGAGAACTGTCCGGTAAACTGCTCCAAACCCACCTCGGCCGAGCTCACAGTCTTTGTTAAGCAGAGCATGCGTTCCAGTGCTGAAATCTGGTTCACCAGAGAACATGACAAGTTTGCCCGAGTTGCTGTCAGTAGTGGGTGATTGACTGAATTCATCACCACCCGAAAACGTGAGTGGAGCAGCTGACCGGGTTATGGTAGATGCACGGACCCGCAGATTAAGGACCGTGATGGCTATTACACCGACCACAATGGCTGCAGCAGCACTGATTGCAATTAAAGAAGATATACTGAGGAGTATCCTTTTGTGGCCAGGACCCGAAGGTAAAGCCTCCCCTGAAGAAGGATCGAAAGTGGCATTCGGGTTCAGCACAATTGGCTTCGGCAGGACAGCAGGGCAAGACTTATTGACGACGGCTCCGCATAGTGCTGGATTGCCTGATACCGAATAAGGAGATATGGTGTTGAAGATTCCACCGGTAGGCAGTTCACCACAAATCTGGTTATGAGATATGTTGAAGGTGTGAAGATTTCCAAGATTAGCCAACTGCTTAGGAAGTGTTCCGGTTAGATCATTGAACGATAAGTCCACATCTCTCAGATTTGAGAGTTTTGCGATTTCCGGTGGAACTGGACCTAGCAAATTGTTCTGTGAAAGGATCCTGCAGAAAGGAGTAAGAGACAGAAATGCCGTTAGCTATGAGGAATTCAAGAGATCGGATTGAATGGAAACGAAAGCAAGACACTTACAGAGATCGAAGAGAACTGCAATTCTTGATCGAAGACGGGATTCTTCCCTCTAACAGGTTGCTTTCCAGTCTCAGCTCCTCCAACGAAACAGCTCCACCGATGTCTTGAGGAATGCTGCCGTTAAGCTGATTGTGACTTAAATCAAGAACGTCCAAGTTCTTCAATTCCCCTATGGCACTCGGGATCGGCCCAGCAAGAGAATTTCTCGAGAGATTCAAGACCTGCAGATCTGCAAGATCTCCTACTCCGCTCGCAAGCTCTCCAGATATAGAATTGTCTGACAAATCCAACACTTGAATGTTCTTAATGCTTCCTGTGGAATTACCATTCTTCAAACTAGAAACCTCATGAGAACCACCTTGAAATATCCAAACGGGCAGATTTCCTGACAATGAATTCTGGCTAAAATCTAAGGCCAAGAGGTTTACACAGTGAGCTAGCGGGTCCGGCAAGCCACCGGTAAACCCATTTGCAGAAAGATTCAGTGTCTTCAACGACAGAAGGTTCCCAATGGAATCTGGAATCTGCCCTGAAAACTTATTCATGGAAAAATCCAAAGTCTCAAGGCTCCTCATTTCTCCAATCCACTTGGGAACATCCCCTTCTAATGCGTTCTTTCCCAAATCCAGAAAATAACACAGATTTAGCTTCTGCAATGAATCTGGCAAGTTCCCCGACAGAGAATTTTCACTAAGATCGACGTACTTTAGCAGCAAGCAGTTCCCAATTTCGCTCGGAACAAGACCCGAAAATCGATTCCTACTCAAATCAAGCACACGCAAGTTGTTCAAGCTGTCTATCCCTTCTGGAATCTCTCCCTCTAACCCATTACCCGACAAATCAAGCGATCTGAGAGTGTTCAATGACCAAATCCCAGAAGGCAGCGAACCCGACAAATGATTCGAGGACAAGTTCAAAGCAGCAAGAGACGAGCAAGAGCTTATACTGACCGGTATCTTGCCGGATAAATTGTTGTTCGCCAAGGAAATAGCTCTTAACGACCCACATTGCCGGAAAAACCCATCGGGAATCGAACCCGACAAACCATTGTTGCTCAGATCGACAATTTTAAGGTCCTGGAGACTCAGCAGGTTAGGGTTGATGTTTCCTGTGAGATTGTTGTTGGATAACGACAGCTTACGAAGGAACTGAAGCTGCAGTAGCCCACGACCAATCCGACCCGACAGGGAGAACCCATCTAGGTTAAGCTCCGTGACTCGATTCGTTCTCGGATTGCATTTCAGACCAACCCAGTTGCAGGGACTGTAGTCATCCTCGTTCCAAGAGGCGAGCTTCTGCTCCGGATCTCGCAGGTCAGCTTTAAAGACAATCAGCCCCAAGACATCGTCGTTCAATGGCGGGTCCAAAGATCTCACCGGAACAAGACAGAGCGTCACCGACAGCAACAGGACTGAGAAAATCACCGCCTTATACATCTTCCAAACTCACTCGCCGGTTTTGCAGACTTCAGATGCGGAAAGTCTCCATTTTTGGGGAATCTAAAGCTGCAATTTTGGAGAAAATTAGGAATGGGAAATGGGAAAAAAGAGAGAAGCTGAAATGACTTTTACTTTACTTTCTGGACCGAAATAAGCACAAGAAAAGAACAAAAATTAGGCACACAACGGCTACATTTAAATCGATCGAAAGAAAACGAAAGAAGAAAGGAAAACACCATAAGCAGCATTAAACGGGAAACACCACAAGCTAAAAATGTACATGGACGGAAACAAACAAAAGAAAAGCAACAATCTTTATCGGATACCTAAAGAAATTCCAGGAACCCTTAATCCTCGAGACAAAACTAAAACGAGGGTTGAAGAAAACGAAGCAAAAAGACAAGGAAAATCAGTACTTTGAAGCTGTAAAAAGGGTTCTTAAGCGGTTACAAAGAGAAATAAAGGGCATTGAGAGGAACTTTCGAGGCGAGGCTGAAAACATTCAACCGTCAAGAAAAAAAGCGTGTTTACCAGGAAAAGCTTCTCTCCGGCGACAATGGCGCAGCTCCGGCTGAAAAACGACGAACTTTCTAGCCTTCTTGTACAGTGAACTGGCGAGGAGGTTGCTAAAAAAGTGAAAGACTGTGAAAGAAGAGAGAGAGAGTGTGTCTGTCTGTGCGTAATTAAAGCAGCCTTTATCAACGGGCCGGAGAACCGGAGGAAGGGTGGGTGGGCTCATTGATTGCCGATGTGACACGTGTCGATATGCGGTAGGTATAGATGTCTGACGTGGCTGACACGTGGTATTTTCCCTCAGGCTTGCTTTTATTTTTTTTTCTTTTGTAAGGTGTAGTGGAAAATGATTGGCCAACTCATAATCCCATTTCCTCCGCTCTCTTTTCTGGGGAAAATGGAAATGACCAAACTACCCCTCCAAAATGATTTAAGAATATCACAACTTTCTAATCTTGTGTAATGCACCCCTTGAATCGAAGAAAAAAGAAAATTAAACACTTTTGGGTCCTCTTAGGGTACTTAATTTATTGCTACATTGGTCATATTAAAGAAAATTGCAAAACGGTTGATGGTTGGTTCCGTAATTCTCGTGGAGAGAGAGGGCATTTGGGGTAAGATGAAGAAAGGGAGAATGGCATAGTGGTCACAGCATAATTTAATTAACTTAGTTATTATAGTTAGGGCAAACAAAAGAAAGGATCATTAAGACAAGCAGTAGGTGTGGTGGTGGTGGTTGCCTGGTTGGCATGAGAGATACAACAAAGTAGACAGATTTTTTTGTTCTTATAACTCACACTATTCATCAATGTAGCTCGTTCCCTGTGATTTTTTGCAACCATACACTATTCCGGAGATGCATAAAGGAGACTTGGTCCATGAACTGGTTCGCGAGCTATTTCGTTTTAAAGATTTGAACTAGAAAAATATGAGTCTAGAAGAAAAAAAATGGTCAGACGAACCAACTCGTCATAGATCAGTTCCACCGGTCCGTAAACCGGTTCGAAAGTCAAGAATTTCCTCAAACAAAAATTATTACTTTATTATTTTTAATATTTTAATTCACCAAAAACAAACTACATACGATCTTGTTGAAAATGGATTGATTCGAATCGAACAGGTTGGACCGGGTCAAGTCCGCCTGTTTTGGACCCCTACACCATTCTTTCATTAGCTATTATTATTATTATTATTTTAATAATCCGAGAATTAATCGAACCTTTAATCCAACTATATCTTCAAGAAGATCGAAAAAATTTATATAGAGAATCAAATATAGATTGAAAAAGATATTTACTCTCTTCTTACCAATTGAATCATCCAATCTTTAGTTTCATTAACTATTATTTGTTGCATATGACTCGAATTTCAGTATACAACAATATAAAGTTATGTGATATTTTTCTAACAAAAATACGGTGTAATTCAATCGTGTGACTCGATTTTGTTATATTCGAAATCATTTGATAATATGGGAAGATAAATCTCATCATAGAGTGTACTCAATGGATATGAATAAAGATACAAAAGTTTTGGATGGAAACTAAAACCACCACATGGTAGAGCCTAGAGGAGATGGAGGAGCAGAGTAGAAAAAGAGATATTAAAAATGGTGGGTTTAGGGTTTTTTATTTGTAAACAAAGAAAAAAAAAAGGTTTTTAGGGTTTTGACTTTGATTTGGGACTTCAATAGTTTGGTTTGGGAACTTCTGTTTGGGCAGGGAATCTCATCCATTCTGTAATAAGAAGACCATTTCACAATCTCAAATGCAAAGTTTCAAACAGTTGAAGCCAAAAAATACACTTTTTAAAATAAAAGGGCATTAACTAACTAGGGTTTTGGTCTCACTGTCTGGCCATATTAATTATAATATTTATTTATTTTTTTACTCTTTATTCCTTTTGGCAGTAAAAAATGGAAAAATAATATATATATATATATATATATATATTGTGGAGAGAAAACAACGTTTCATTGGGGCGTTTTGGATTTTACTATTTGTTTTGTAGTTTCTTTTTATTTTTTTAAATGAAAATGTTAAATTGAGTTGAGTGTCAATTCTCCCCCTTACTCTTTCCACAGCTTTGAAGGAATTTATCGGGCAGTGTGTAGCGGGGCGTGGCGAATTCGCTTTTATTATTTTACTATTTACTATTTACCATTCCCTTAACTTTTATTTTATTTTATTTTTTTGGTTAAAATCCCTTAACTTTTACTATGATGACGATGATGATGATGATGATGATTTTTTTCACTCGAGACCGTTTCAATAATATTAATCTTATGGGAAAATATAATAAAAATTAGGATGCATTTCCTAATTTAAACTACATTTTAGGATAAAAAAGTTATATATTTTTTTTAGTAAAAAATACGTATTTCTTTTTCATAACTCCTGCACTTTACACGGGTAGAGCTAATGATTTTTCACGTTGGGTGGGTACAAAATCAATTCTGAGGCCCGTGACGAAGAAATATATGGGCCGAAGTCGTAATTGAGGCCCATAATAAGATGAGATAACGCCGTTAACTGTTAGTTAGTAAAACCCTATCGATGAACTAACTGGCTGTTTCTCTTCTTCTTCGAGAGCACCGAGAGAGGAAAATTTCGGAGGAAGAGAAAAGTAACATAACAAAAGAAGGCGATGGATCCGAAGAGGAAGCAGATGATTGTATCTGGTCTTTGCAAACACTTCTCCGTGGAACCTGTAAGCGAAGAAGATTTCACCTCATAAGCTTTCAAATGTTTTTTTCCCGATTTTTGAAGTATTGCCTGCATGCGGAATGTGCAGGGAGTCTGGTTCGATTTCACATTTTCGGGTAGTCTCAGCTGTTATTTTGTTATTAATTGGGTTTGATTGCTTCGTCTTGTTGGTATACATCAAGTCGGGTTTGAGAAGAGGAACCGGCCTTTTTTTTTTGTTTGGGTAATGGGAAAATGAAAAGCAAGAAAGTTGCTACTCAGAGTGTATGGATTCGTTGAAATCGTAATCGTTGGAATTGCCTTGTTGATTTATATACTCAATTGGGTCTTTGTTGATGTATAAAATGTTGAACATTTTGGGCTCTCTTTCTGATTCAATTTTATATCATTGTGAAGGAGCCATTTCTGGGTGGCGTTGGCGAGACTGATATCAAGAAGCTGTATTCTAATGTCCTGAATTCATCTGGAAAGGAAGTGTCTGCGCCAAAGGAAGAGGTAAAATCATTTTTTACTGTGATTGTTTTCCGATCGAAGCTGGGATTAGTTTGTTTGCGTTACAATGGCTTCCGGGTGGTGGTAATTCGAGAAGTATGGTAAATATTGCTTTCCATAGCCAATGCGCCTTAGGTTCACAGTTCTAAAAGTAATTACTGGTTCCAGGTCTTCCAGTGGCTGGAATTCGTGGAGGGTCTCCCTCTGGATTCCACAGCATGTTTCCCTGCCCTTGAACAGTTGAATGGGGAGTTGGTTACCAAGTCAGTGCTTTTGGGAAAGGGATTGACACCGTCTGGTGCGGATATTGCTGTGTTTTCAGCTTTGCATTCTTCAGTGGTATTGGAATTTTAGCTCTTGTTTTAATTCCTAGATTGACTTACATTCTTATTGCCTTAGTTCAGTTGTGTCTGAATGAATGTTTATATAGAACAATATCAGTTTCTGTTAACCGCTGATTCAAAGTGAGACCTTAAGGATTAATAAGTTTCTGTTGACTGTTGCTACTAGCGTGGCCTCCCAGATTCAGACAAGAAGAAAGTACCTCATGTTATGAGATGGGTGAACTACATTCAGGTAGGACCGGCATTGTAAATTTTACGATCCTCAATTGCGCTAAGGTTGTCTAAACCTCATAGTCAGTTACTATGACAGTTTTTTGCTCTCTGCAATATCATCATTTTGCACTTCCTGTCTTTGTGTTTGTTTATAGTAGTAATGTCGCAAACTATTATGTTTACAGAATAGAGAAGAGTTGTCAGAACTATTTGGGCCAATACCTGTGGAGGAGCCGGAGTTTGACTTTGAGGTGAATACAATTTCCTTTCTTGATCTTAGAATTTTGTTCTCCTACATAAGAGTAAGCATGCCTTTTCATATGCATGACAAATGGTCTTTTTCTTTTCTGTGATGATTTTCTTCTGAATTCTGATATTTCTCTCTTATTCTAAGTGCAGGTACTCAGAAGCGCCCCTAAGCTGGAAGCAGACTCTAATGCAAAAAATGTTGCACCGGGACAGGGTTCAAAAACTGTTGACAAGTCAGAAACACAGCAGAGCAACAAGAAAAACGAGTCTCAGGTATAGCTTTCGTATTTGGGTTCCTGTTGGTTGTAAGTATATTTATCTTGCAACAGAAACTTAAATTTCTGCTTGTTGTTTGAGGAACACAAGAAAAAGGCATCAAAAGAGAAGGAAGCCAGTCAAGAAAAGAAAAAGCCTGCTGAAACAGCAGCAACCGACAAAGATAAAGAGCTTAGTGTCAGTTTGCTAAATATTCAGGTCGGTCTGATTCGCAAAGCATGGAAACATCCATCTGCAGATAGGTTTGTCAAAAAAACTCTTCATCTTCCATTTGAGGTTGAGCATTTTAATCCATGTCATCTCTGTCGTATCTGGGATATGCCAAAAAGGGCTTATGGGATCTGCTTACGCGTAGAATATGTTTAAAGCCTTATGCTGTATTTATTGAAAATGCAGTTTGCTGGTTGAAGAGATAGATGTCGGTGAGGGTAAAGTGAGACAGGTTGTCAGTGGCCTGGCAAAATTCTGCAGCCCAGATGATTTGACGGTACAGTAATGGCTTTAGCTTATCAAGAAATGGAAAATTATCTATACTTGTATAGATTGGCTTATTAGTCTTTTTCACTCTCAAGCTTCTCGAATTGTTAAGCTTACTCACCTCTGGTTTCTTGATTTCTGTATCTGATGAAGAACCGCCTTGTTGTGCTGATCACCAATGTAAAACCTGGAAAGCTAAGAGATGTGTTGTCTGAAGGACTGGTAATGCTTTCTTCCCACCTGCATCAAACTGATCTATCGCTGTGCAAATTGTTCAACACTCGTGGCTTGTTAATGCTAACGATTTTGGAAATTATTGTCAACCGAGCATGGATTTAATGTTGAGCTCGAAGCACAAAAGGACATTTAGTTTGCCCCCTAGTTTAAATTTGCATGAACCATTTCATTCTCCAAAAAATGATTTAGAAGTTGCAAATGATGGCATTGGCTTCCTTCTCTGTTCCTGATTTCCTTCCTACAGGTTCTTTGTGCTTCGAATGAGGATCACACGGTCGTAGAGCCTTTGTTACCACCCGAAGGAGCCAAGCCCGGAGAGCGAGTTTCATTTTCCGGGTATCGATCAAATCACTAGCATGGAGATTACTGCTCCTCATAAACATATTTCCCTTCACCGATGCATGACAAGGTCTCGTTTTGGTGCATTGCATCTTAGGATTGAAGGAAAGCCCGAAGAAGTGCTCAACCCGAAAAAGAAGCAGCTCGAGAAAATAACACCGGTGTGAACTTCATCCGCAATCTTCAAAGCTTTTCATAAACTACAACTTATCATACGCAGTTACATCACATTTTGGCTATACTACGTTCATGTCTGAGGTTGTGTTTCATCATGGCCATTGCAGAATCTCTTCACAGACGAAAAGGGTGTGGCCACATACAAAGGTATTCCATTCATGACCTCAGCCGGTCCATGTTCTTCCAAGATTCCAAAGGCTACCATCAAGTGATTTCTATACGATTACCTCCGGCATGTCCTTGTCTTGAGTTTCTGATGTCTTTTGTATGCCGTGAAATGGGTGAAATCATCGTTAAGGTTTTTGGGATTTATATCTATATTCCATGTTATATGGCACTTTTTTTTTTCTATTAATATTTTGTGCTGTTCTTTTATATATGAAAAGGTTAATTTTCATTAATAATAATTTTAATCTTTTGGTTAGTTAGTGTTAACAGCAGTTGAAAATGCTTGACAAACTCAATATTGAGATTAATAACTTCAGGAAATTAATATATGCCATATCATAATTTCCCACTATTGCATCGGATTAGGCTGGATTGTAATCAAATTCGTTTTGGTATATTTGTTATAAAATCCTTAAACATAATGCAATCAATTGATTGAAAATCAAATTATAGAAATTTCAATTGCTCAATTCCAATTCAATTCGAATTCGAAAATTGCAAATATAAAACTATCTGTAGGCATGGCATGTGACATCTACTCGTGAATTATATAAAACTATAAAATCATACAAAGGCTAGATATGCAACAAGTTGTGGATATGATCAAAGATCTTCTCTTAAAGCCTATGGTCCGTGCAATTATTATTATTTTTTTCAGGATTGAAGAATTGACATAATTTCCAACACACCCAAAGACAAATTATTGATTATAATTTTATAGGAAATGGAGAAGCTACGGTTCATTTATTTTGATAGTCAGAGAATCAGACATAATATGATATGGGGAGGGACCTCGTATCCGTATCGGATTTGCTATCCATTTGCAAGCCAACACAATTATTATATATATATATATATGTATATTGTCTCTGCAATATTCCCACGATATAATCCAGAAAGAAAAGGAAATTATATTTGGAATTTTTTATTTTTGTTATTGAATAACAAAAATCCCAGCGGATCCGTACGGCCATTTTCAAGATTCAGTCTCACAAGTTGTTTCTTAAATTAAACGAGAAAAATCTTTTACATATCGGAAAAATTATGGTCCACCGGTGGTGTGGTCGATCGGATCACATTGATTTTATTTCGATCATGTTCTTACCAACTTTGAGATCCCCCATTTCTAATTTTATGTATGTGTGTGTGTGTGTATGTATGTATGTATGTATGTATGTATGTATGTATGTATGTATGTATGTATGTATGTATGTATGTATGTATGTATGTATGTATGTATGTATGTATGTATGTATGTATGTTATTTATGGGGGTGGTCCTAAAGAGTACCCCACGAACATGCCCTTGTTACCAGTGAGGATTTTAGGTGACACCATGTAAAAAGACAAAAAGATTCTTATTCAATTCTTCGACAGAAACAATATAGAAAATTCTATACATATGTGCACATATATGCATATATGTATATATGTATGTATATGTGCGTGTAATGAATTGAGACTGAAGCAAATCAGAAGGATACATAAAAAATACATGCCCCTAAGATAAGAGATCACGAAATATCTGTGATCTTCTTTAATTCAATCTCTTCTTCTTCTTCTTAATGCTCCTTTTTCATTTTTTTTTTGGAATTATAATTATTCTCCCACCAAACTAAAAAAAAAAAACCTTCATAAATACCATCACCATATTCACATGATTCACACATACTGTCTTCTTGGTTCTCTCTCTGTTCCTTCATGTACGGTTTGTCTTTTCTCCCTTTTCAAGTTTCAGTGTTATGTTTTTTTTTTTATTTCTCTTCCGTGTCAGAGAAACGGAACTGGGATTAACCCTCGGTGTTTGTCCCTTACAATTCTTGTCGCAGAGATTTCTCGGTTTCTTGACGAACAAGTAACCGAACAGAGGGTTCACGGGGATGGAGAGTGGAGGTTGCGTAGGCAATTCTTGCCCGTCTATGGAGGTTCCATACGAAAACGGTAATGGAGAGCTTCATGTTTTAGCCGTCGATGACAACCTTGTGGATCGTAAGCTCGTCGAGAAGTTGCTCAAGATCTCCTCTTGCAAAGGCAATTTAGAGATTTCCCCTCTCTCTCTCTCAAAATCTGTCCTTTTGATCTGAAAATTGGATATATTACTTGTGCAGTGACCACGGCGGAGAACGGGCTTCGAGCATTGGAGTATTTAGGCCTGGGAGATCAAGAACAGACCAAAAATGTAAGCAGAACATTGAATTCTCCTCAAGAGATTAAGCATCATCATATGCTGTCATATGCATGAATGCAGTTCTGATAGGTTCATGGAGACGTGTTTTCCGATAACGCGACAATTGTTGTCCTCAGATTTCGAAGGTCAATCTTATAATCACCGATTACTGCATGCCCGGAATGACCGGTTTCGAGCTGCTCAAGAGGGTGAAGGTACGAACCGTGCCTCGAGTTTTTCTCGATTTGCCCCAGACATCTCTCGTGATCTCTTTCGTTTTTCGATGGTATTGGTGTTCGACAGCAGGAGTCGTCGGGTCTGAGGGAGGTACCTGTCGTGATCATGTCATCGGAAAACATCCCTACCCGTATCGACAAGTGAGTTCACTTCCTTCACCATCGTCCTTACAGCCTTTTTCGGGGAGGAAAGTTCTGTTCTTTTCGGAGATCAAATATGTTCTGGTTTTGCCCTAAACTAATGCAGATGCTTAGCGAGCGGAGCGCAGATGTTCATGCTGAAACCTCTGAAACTCTCAGACGTGAAGACACTGAAGTGCCGTCTGATGAACTGCAGAAGCTGACAAAAGTTCGAATAGGAACAGATAGGAGGCAGAACAGACATCAAATTGAGAAAAAGAGATTACTATTATTATTATTATTATTATCTTTGGATCGAATTATTGATTCATAAACTTGTCTGTTCCCTGCATATGTATCAGAAGCTTGAACTCTCTGACCATGACACCATCTGATTATCTCAAGCATTCTTGTTCTTCTAACTCTTTCGATCCCAACAAAAAGAAGAGGGGAACTGCTTTTTACATGTTTCAGAAATCAAGAAACCTTTCAAATGCCTGTAAATCCCTTCTGGATGATGTTTTCCGGCGTGACGATTGAGTATTGCCAATCCTACGTAGCATACACACACATATATATATATATATATATACAAACCCACCAAGAATCAATAACCAGAGAGGATCAGAAGAAATGCTTATGGTGAATGGGGTGAAGATGCCGTCTTTCGTCCAATCCGAAACATCGGATCACAGGGTAACAACCTGCAAATAAACATCTCCCCATACCTCTAACCATGGAAGACGGTTGCCAACAACGACAACAACAACCATGCTTGTGGTGTCCTCTCTCTTTTGTCCCTTTCTTGCCTCTTTGGCCACCGAGGTTGCTAGAGCGGCTTGGCATGGCTTTTCACCGAATCTGGGAAAAGGGTTCAGATCAATCTGAGAGAGGAAACACAAATCAGAGGAGAAGAGAGAACAAGAAGAATCTGACAAATCTTATGGCGCGAGAAAAGGTCTCAACGTTGAAAGGGTAAACAATATTTTTTTCAACCCCAAGCTTTCAGACAAGAGTCTCAGTCAACGGCAGTTCAACAAACGTGGACCCTCATCGTTTCGTGGTGTACTTGCGTCGGAAACTTCAAGAAATCAAAATCACTCGCCAGAAATTTTTCCCCAGAAAAAAAGAAGATGGATGGGGTTGGGGAAGATGCTGATGCTCTGATTGTTGTTTCGTTCCTTTTTTTTAAGTAAGAATTTCTCGTTTTTATACGATGATGGCGAATATTCGGAAAACGCAATGGATGGGTTGATGCTGATGATGACGCAATCTCCATTGGGAACTCAAGTCCAACGAACTGCGTGTCGTTTGCGTGTTTCAGTTTCTGCGTCTTTTGTCGTTTTCTGGTGGACGATTTTTGGTTAATATCCGGATTTTTTTTCCTTTTTGTTTTTATAATTCATCCCACAAACGAGATCATCAACGTCCTCGAGTGGTAAAAGCATCCATCTCACATAGAAAAGATGTGATTAAGAGTGAAGACATGGAGATTTATGACTAGAATTTTTCAGATATCTTTGGATTCGAAAATGGGCGCTGCCGGAAGACGACGACGACGATGTTGACATGTGTTTCAGGCTCCGACAAGTTTACCTGTGTCGGGGATTTTCATGTCTGGCTAAATCGCACATTTTTCCAACTTCGATTAGTTCTCGAATAAAAACCCTAGTTCAACAAGGAGAATACCGGCAAGCTCTGCATTTGTACACCAAGCACGGTTCTTCCCCATTACGGACCTCCATCTTCACCTTCCCTTCTCTTCTCAAAGCTTGTGCTTCTCTTCCAAACCTCGACTATGGTAAAACCATTCATGCCTCTGTTATCGTATTGGGCCGGCAATACGATCTCTATATTGCGTCCTCACTCGTCAATATGTACGTGAAAGGCGGATTGCTGGATTACGCAGTCCAAGTGTTCGATGTTTTGTCTGAGAATGGGGTCTCTTCCCAGGATGTCACGGTTTGGAACTCTATGATTGATGGGTATTTCAGATTTGGACATTTTAAGGCGGGAGTCGATCAGCTCCGTCGAATGCTGGAATTGGGTGTAAGGCCTGATGCTTATTCGTTAACCATTGTTGTTGGCGTCTTGTGTAAAGATGGAAACCGTGGGCGGGAGGGAGGAAAGCAGATTCATGGGTATATGCTGAGGAATTCGTGGAATGGAGATTCTTTCTTGGAAACTGCTCTAATTGATATGTACTTCAAGTTCGGCTTATCAACGAATGCGTGGCGTTTGTTTGTTGGGATGAAAGATAAGGCAAATATTGTGATATGGAATGTGATGATTGTCGGATTCTTGGATAATGGACTCTGGGAATCTAGTTTGGAACTGTACACGCTAGCTAAGAGTAATAGTGTCAAGCCTGTTTCCACTTCCATTACAGGAGCTCTAGGTGCTTGTGGTCAAAGTGAGAATGTTGATTTTGGGAAGCAGATCCATGGTGATGTGGTAAAAATGGGACTTGAGCATGACCCATTTGTCTGCACTTCTCTACTTACCATGTATGGAAAATGCAGTTTGGTTGACGAGGCAGGAACTATCTTCCATAACATTCCAGATAAAGGACTTGAAATATGGAATGCAATCATTGCAGCATATGCAAACAATGATTGCGGGCACAATGCTTTGGAATTGTTCGACTCGATGAGACAGAAAAATGTTATGCCCGATTCCTTCACCTTGTCGAACATCATAACATGTTGCAGCATGCTAGGGTTATATGAATATGGTAAGTCGATTCATGCAGAACTGGTTAAAAGGCCTATACAAAGTAAGGCTACTGTAGAGAGCGCGTTACTGACTATGTACTCTAAGTCTGGTCGTGATAACGATGCTAGTTTAGTCTTCAATTCAATGGAAGTAAAGGATTTGGTTGCATGGGGTGCCCTGATATCGGGGTTTTGCAGAAACGGTAAATTTACAGAGGCTCTGGAAATTTTCAGGTGCATGAAAAATAGTGAGAGCTTAAGACCTGATTCCGACATCATGGCCAGTGTTATAAATGCATGTACAGGATTAGAGGCTCTCGGTTTTGGTCTTCAGGTTCATGGCTACATGATGAAAACTGGATTAGAGTTGGATGTTTTCGTAGGCAGTTCCCTTATTGACCTGTATTCCAAATGTGACGTACCAGAAATGGCTTTCGAAGTATTCTCAGGCATGCCACGTAAGAACATCGTTGCTTGGAATTCAATGATATCTTGCTACAGCCGAAACAACCTCCCGGAACTGTCAATAGGTCTTTTCCATGAGATGGTCGATCATGGTTTCTTTCCGGATTCAGTGTCCATCACAAGCGTTCTTGTAGCAATCTCATTAACCGCAAGATTGCTGAAAGGGAAAAGCCTACATGGGCATACGATAAGACTCAACATACCTTTCGACACCCACCTAGAAAATGCTTTGATTGATATGTATATGAAATGTGGATTTTTGGAGTATGCCCAGAATATATTCAGGAGAATGCTGCACAAAACTCTGGTCTCGTGGAATCTGATGATTTCTGGGTATGGATCCCATGGCAATTACCTCGGAGCATTGGCTTTGTTCGACGAGATGAAGAGAGCAGGAGAAGAACCCGACGATCTGACTTTCCTATCTCTGATTTCAGCTTGCAATCATTCAGGCTTTGTGCAGGAAGGGAAAGCACAAATCAGAGGAGAAGAGAGAACAAGAAGAATCTGACAAATCTTATGGCGCGAGAAAAGGTCTCAACGTTGAAAGGGTAAACAATATTTTTTTCAACCCCAAGCTTTCAGACAAGAGTCTCAGTCAACGGCAGTTCAACAAACGTGGACCCTCATCGTTTCGTGGTGTACTTGCGTCGGAAACTTCAAGAAATCAAAATCACTCGCCAGAAATTTTTCCCCAGAAAAAAAGAAGATGGATGGGGTTGGGGAAGATGCTGATGCTCTGATTGTTGTTTCGTTCCTTTTTTTTAAGTAAGAATTTCTCGCAAACATGGTGGATCTTCTTGGACGAGCCGGGCATTTAGAAGAGGCTTACAGTTTTGTTCGAGCGATGCCCGTTGAGGCAGACAAGAGCATATGGCTGTGCCTCTTGTCGGCTTCAAGAACTCATCATAACGTGGAGCTCGGAATACTGTCTGCTGAGAACTTGCTGAGAATTGAACCGGACAGAGGTAGCAACTATGTTCAGATGATTAATCTTTATATGGAAGCTGGATTGAGAGAAAAAGCGGCGGAAACGATGGCTCTGATGAAGGAGAAAGGATTGCAGAAGAAACCCGGTTGCAGTTGGATCGAGGTGAGAAACAGAACGCGTGTTTTCTTCTCAGGAAGCTCCTATTCTTCATCAATGGAGGCTGAGGTTTTCAATGCATTGAATAGCTTAAAGTGTAACATGAAGAAAGAAAATAACGAAGACTCGGACAAGATGACATTCCGGGAAGTGATTTTGTAGAAATAAGGTTTGTTCCGACATAATACGCAATACTCGTACTTGTGTCCGGTTATGAATAACCGAATCCGAAAATTATTTAAAGCACATTCATAACAAAAAAAATTGCATAGTATTGATAAACGAGTTCGAGTATTTAAAATTTTCAAGATGTTTGCACAGTATTCAATTAGGGTGGACGTTACCATTTTCGGTTCGGTTTGGAAATAATTTTTTTTAGTTTTATAAAAATTATATCAAACTAGAACCGAATGTTATTGTTATATGAATACCAAATAAATACCAAAACATAATATTAATATTTACATATAAATTGGTGAATAATTCGGATTTTGGTTTGGAACTTGTCAGGTTTGGTTCCACAAAGATTTATTCGGTTCTATAAAAATGTACCAAATTAGAATCGAATGTTCTTCAATTCAGTTTCAGTTCGGTTCAATTCGAAACTAAATTCTCGAAGCTAAGTGTTCACTCCTATTCAAAGACAATTTTTTTTTTGTAAATATTGAAACTTAATATGATTATATATATCTTTAAGAAATATACATGAATATTCATGGTTATTATCATTGATTTTTAGTTATTCGTATTGGACGAGTAATTATTAAAAAAAACTTCTACAAAATTTTAAACTTGTAATATGGTAGAAAACTAATTCCTGAACTTGAAGGTGTACCTATTTATTCTCGAACTTACAAAATTGGATATGATAATTCCTAAATTTGCTTAAAAGTGTCTAATCGTCTTTACCATAAATTTGACCAAAATAATATGTTGAACAATTTTACATGGCATATAAATTGTCAAAACACGTAAGATTTTAATGCTATGTATGGAGAACCGGGTTTAATAGACACGGTTTAACAAAACTGGTTTGTAATAGTAAAAATTTCTGTCAAGTCCGAAACTCGGTCCTATAGACTTCAGGATTGAATTGGGCCATGTTGGTCCGTTCAAATTCTTTCATAAATTTATTTTTTCTTTTTTTATTAAGATTTTTATGAAAAAAATTATCGAACTTTTGAGCCGATATGAATCGGGCCCGAAATCCGATTTGAATCTGACCCGAAAGTCCGATTTTTTTCGGATCGAAAAATTTAGACCCGAAACCCAATATTTTTTCAAATGGGTTCCGGCTAGTCTTTGAGCTTCGAACCTAAATTCACACCCCCTGCATAATGTCCATAATCTAATAAATCAATGTCTAATAATTCCATGTCAGTTTCGTTATTACAAATATGGTCCCTGGTCCATTCCATCCCGCATGCATGTATCTGCGTGTTTATATATGTATGTAATTATGTATATATTATGTTGTTGTTCATATGTTCGTATCAGAGTGTAAGACAAGGCCAGGGCAATGTTCATCTTCTCTCCAGCGGCGGCATCGTCGACAAACGGCCGCGACCACCACCGAATCCACCGCGACACACCGGATAAGAAAGGACAGTCTAGGTCGACAAATAATTTTGCAGGGTAGAAATTATGGAATTTACTATTTTATTATGGTCTACGATCATTTATATATTTATGTGAAGATTGGTGGTACATAGATTTACTTGATTATTAAATTCGGCAAACACAAAAAGGAAAGAATTTTATTTTATTTTATTGTAATTCGTGTTACAAATTGTCACAAAACGGTTGGCGGTTTTTGCAATCCAAGGAATCAAATGTAACGAGATTCAGTCCCTTGGCCCAAGTGGGAGTTGCAGTCAATATACGTACATTGAATTTGTATGAACGTACATATATATATATATATATATATATATAACCACTATTAATTTGTGGACAAGCCTTGGGACATATATGGTGTTTTATTGAACAACAAAACACAACATAACCCTCATGTGGACATATGCTATATACCACCATTACGACGCAGTACCATCATCATCATTGCTCAGTAAAACGTTAATTAACGTTCTTGAAACATTTAATTTTACAATTTTTCGATCCATATAATTAGTTTCTAATTTTTTTTTTATTTCAATTTGCCTATACGCAATATGCATCGGAGGAGAAGGAAACCTGATCGGTGTCTCCAAATGAGAAATCACTTCTTCCAAACACCATGAAATCATCCATGTCGTCATCATGCACATAACGATTCATGAGCTCGCCATGTTCATCATCAAGAACCATGAAGTCTTGCCAGACCAACGACAAGTCTTGAAACTGGTTGCCATTCGTGTCTTCCTCCTTCACTTGACTACCAATGATCTTGCTGTCGTCGTCGTCTTCTTGTTTGTTATTACAGCCCTTGCTGCTACTTTGGTCGGTACCGGCAGTAGTTGTGATTACGACAGAAGAAGACCCACAATAAGCGTTTTCGGAATATTCCGTTACGATCTCTGAAGGTTCGATCATGGCCGTCACCGGGCTGTCCTCGTTAGGGTTACACGTGTGGTTTCCTATGTATGTGATCTGGAAGATTCCAGGGCGGTGTTCGAGTTTTTGGGCTTGCTTCACAGCCCTGCACCCTTGTGTGTACTTGTTTCTGCACCTAAAGTAGCTTCTGCAACATCAAGATGCATCATCTCTTATTAGAAACTATATGTCCGTACATATATATATATACACACACGCGCACACACATATACCCCTTTGGACCCGTGGGTGTCAACAAGATTGGTTCTAGACGAATTATGTATAGACTAAATATCATATGTTCAAACGGGTCCACGAGATATATAATTCCAACAAAACGAGTGGTTCGATCACTATATGTATATACATACATATTGGCTGACAGGTCTAATTGACACGTGTCCTGAGATTACATGATAAACATCGAAGATCTTATTGAAGCTGCAATTTTCCGATAAAAAGGCCAAAAACCTTGACAACAAAAGATGAACATGAAGAAACATATTTATGATTTGTAGCCTTTTCTATTATATATATATATATATATATGTATGTATCAATGTGTATGTATGTATGTGTGTAAATGCATATGTACAATCTCTTGTATGCTTACATATATGTATCCACATGTATACATCTACACATATATTATATATGTAAGGATGGATTATAAATACCTTGGGTATTTGGCATTAAGAATCTCCTTCTGACCATATTTTCTCCAAGCATGAGAGTCTTCAAGTGTGTTGGACTCCACTGTCCATGACTGCGATTTCCTCCTGCAATAACATAATAACGTAATTAAAACAGATCTAGTGGTATTATGCGTTGACCCGTACAAGACTCTACTTATGTGCTTAGGTTTCTAAAAGTAGATCTGGTGTCTGAACTCAGCCTGAGATTGCTATGCATGCGTCTCAAATCCGAACAAAATTAATCTAATCCATGTTTTCATTGAAATCTGAATTTTTCGAATATTGCTTCCTTTAAATGTATCATTTGTTTTCAAGGATGAATATGTGTATATATATACACACACACACACACGGGACTCCCTATTATTGTGACAGAGAAAGTGGATTCTATCACTTTTCCAAGAACCAATCATAACTGTGATTACATGTGCAAAAGATCCATCGAACAGTTGCCGAAATCCACCAAAAAAGACAACTGGATCCATCAAGCTCGATCTCAAAGAAAGGCGCCACAATGGAAAAAAAAAAAGAAGATCAACTTACTTTCTCTTGTAGCACCCTCTCTTGCCCTTGTCAACCACCGAAGGCCTCTTCCTACTTTCGCCGGAATCCTCACACCGTGCATCGGAAACCACCGTAATCGCCGCCATAGAGTCGCCGGAAGAAGCATTCCGGGAACCCTCCACGGCCGGGAGGACAGAGAGAGGCTCGAAAGAGCCCAAGACGGAGATGGTCTTGTCGAAAGAACCCAAGATCTTGAGCATGAGATCATCGGCCGGACCCGGACCCAGACCCGGAAACGATCCGGGTCGGGTCTGGTCGTGGGGGGAGCGAAGGTCGAAGGACTTCTTAGAGAGGAGAAGCTGAAGCTGGGTGGCGAACTCGTAGCCTTCGACAAGTTGCTCGACAACTTTTCGCTTTATGGCTTTAACGTCCATCGATCTTGTGACGGAAATGGAGTTTGGATTTCGCCTTTTTGGTGGGTTTTTGGATGAGTAAATGAGGAAGGTGAAAGCGTATATTATAGTGGGAGAGGTGAGAGAAAAAGATAAGATTTTTTTTTTGGTTCAGTAGAGAGAGAGAGAGACAAAGGTAAGGAGGAGAGAGATGGGGAAAGAGAGAGGAAAGGGGAGAGTAGTGGGGGAAGGGTAAAAATGGAAAGCTTAAATAATTAAATGAGTGGGGGTGGGGTTCGGGGGGGGATGGATTCATCCGCAACTCGATGAGTTGAACTCATGGCTTCTGAGGAGGGTATCGCTGACGTAAGATATATGACGTCATCCTTGCTTATGTTATGAGAGTGTTCGAATGGATTTTTAGGGTTTAACAGACCTCGTCGTCTTTTTAAGATTTAGTTTTTTTCGGTAATTTTATATAATTTAACTAATCTATATATAGAAATATATTTAATAAGTTAATATTATTGAATAATAATATTTGCAAAAGAGAATATGTTGCCCATAACCTAAAAAAATCCTTTGAAAATCCGTTACAAAACTTTCATATTTTGTTTCTTAACTTTAAATAAATTTAAATAAATTGTAATATAGATCACATGATATATAATATATGGACTATACTAATATGGTGGGTCCACTTTAGAATTTTCAAAATTCTAATGTAAATGTCACATGTATAATAGGCAGTAAAGTTTGGTAAAGTTGTAAACGTCGCAACCAAATTGTATAATTTTGTTGAGATTTTTACGAATCTATTTTATTATTCCATATTATTTTTGTAATATGTTTTTTTGGTAAATATTTTTGTAATATGTTAACAGAATAATTACACGATTCCAGATATTCACTCATTATATCTTCTTATGCTACATACAAATAAAGGCCGACAGATGCCAAACGCCCAACACCACCAAAATTATTTCATTGAACTAAAATTAAAATATTATTTGTCCCCAGATTATGATAGTGGTGGTCAATGGCAAAAAAAAAAACTTTAAAAATTTATAATTTGATCTAGGCTGAGTTGTCTTAATTAATGAAAATTTTAAATTAACCAGCCTCGATCACTGAACTGCTTCTAATCAATTATTCAGATATACTTGAAGTTGAAGATGATCTGTCATGAGTTTGAAATACAGCTGCTTTAATTTTTTTGGTTAACGTTATAAAAAATATTATATATTAATAACTGGATCAATTTGAACAAAATAAAAAAATGCATGCTTGTTGAGCTAGTTGCTTAAAATATATAATTACGATTGGATTAATTTAGGATTTATAACGAGAGTTGAATCCATCCATCACTAATTACCATGATTATATTTAGATTCAAATCCATTATATATATATATTGTTTTGTTACTATATTTGTAGTTACGGTCGTTTTCTGCCCTTTTTTTATTTGCAATTTCAATTCCATATTGTTGAATTTTAAATCATCATTAGCATTCACCACTCAATCCAAATCTATATCTCCATCCACTAGCGATGATTTAAAACAGGAGCGATCACATACATACATACGTACGTACGTACATACCCACACACATACATACATACGTACGTATAGGGCAAAGGCATACGATTGTCGGATAGTGGACGGCAAATTCCTCGTCAATGAAGTACATTCGCAATATTAAAGGTACAGAAAAGGAAAATGTTAGGAAAATCACATATACGTTGATTGAGATCGGATTGGGAAGTGATGAAATCTTTGAGGAGGAAAAATAAAATAAAATAAAACAACATATTCCAAAGTCTAGACGACGACCAATGGTAGGAATGCACGTTAAATTATTTGCAAATTGATTATAACTAAAAAGTCAAAAAAAAAAAAAAAATGGGGCTGAAACGAAACTGCTTGGAACATCACTCTCCTTTTGTCTCCTCATACGACAACATATTTCCATTTCGAACATCGCCAATTGAAATTTGCATCTTTTTCTTGTGAATATTTCGTATATGTATGTACTTCAATTTTTTTCTAGATATTATGTAACATATAGGTAAATAAAATACTATACTTGTATTAAGGAAAATATTATCATTAAGCTAGTAAATATTTTTGTAAGATAATTCTATCTAATATATATATATATATATTATTTCTTCATAAATAGAAATTACATAAAATTACTTTTTATTTGTTGATATTTTATTATTTACCTTCGTGATATATATATTTTTTCCCTGTAAACATCTTTATATTCTTATAATAAAAACTCGAATTGTATTTTCTTTTTCTCTACAATATATCTGTCTTCTATGATGCAATAGAGTGAAATGTTGATGCAAATTGCAATCCAAATGCGCATATAAATATACCAATCTAGATAAAGATATTGGGCCTTTTTCTACGCGAATTTAAATCAAAACAATGACTCCCGTTTTTTTCATGTAAAAAATGCATATTTAATTTATATATTTGATATGCATTCGCTCTTTTTCAAGCAGTGTTACTTTTCCTACGTTTGACACAAAGGAATTAATTAATTGCTTAACAAGCAAGTAGTTTTGGAAATAAATTAAAACTATATAAGAACATTTTTAACGTGTAGAATTACTATTCATTATTTGGATTTTTAACATTTGAACATTTATTTCGATACATCAAATCATAGCAAACAAAATATATTTTAATACTATTTCAAATCAAACACTTGGTTTAGGTCCGGGGTTAATGATATGCCGTTCCAGCCTTGGAGGAAAAAAAAAACTACCGGTCGGTCCATCTCAAATTGATTGAGGACACTCGTTTCTAGCCACGTGGCAGCTCGATGAGGGCAAAATCGTAATTTGAGTCAAGCCGAATTTAAGTACGGAAAGACCGCCGTTAGTTTAGCCCACAGAGTTGGGGACACTGATGCTAAGGTGTATCTGGAGATTTCCGCCGTCGCTCGCCGTCAGGATGCTCTCGCCGCCGCCGTCACAATCCTCCAGCGCCGGTGGCCGGAACCCTAGATCGATTATCGCGAGCTCGAATTCGGACTTCGCTTTTCCCAAATCTCAACCCCAGAATCTCGCTTGCTCTCGCAATCTCTCTCCGAAACCCACGGTAGCACTTCCAAATTCTGGAGCTCCCCGAAAAAGCATAGCGATGTCTACGCACTGTTCTTCCGGGAATGCTTTCTCAGGACCAACGCAAATTGGGGGTAAGCCAGAATCTGGGGAATCGGATTTGAATTCGCTAGTGGTGGTCTCGTTCTACAAGTTCGCCGATTTTCCGGACCATGCTGATTTGAGGAAGCCATTGAAGGAGCTCTGCGAGGAACTGGTATGCCATTGATTAGCTCATAATAGTCTACGATTTTCAATGCTTTTTATCCGCTTTTGAAAGATATAACCAACAGGAAAATCGAAAATAGGTGTCTTCGGACAAGTTAGTTTAGATTGTTGGAGAACATGTTACTTTAGCGCTTAAAGTTAGCAAATTTTCACTTTGTTGAACAATGTTTTCAACCGGTAATAGACACGCTTCGCTTAGTACTTCATTGCCTGTGTCATTGCCCCAAGTCACAAACATGAGAGAAATGGTATAAGCATCCTATTCTTGACCATTGAACTGATTTTTCACCAGCATGTTTCAGGTGGAATCATTTTAGCTCCAGAGGGGATCAATGGAAGCATCTGCGGGACACGGGAATCTGTGGAGAGAGTGTTGGCATTCATACAGAGCCATACCCATTTGAATGGGCTGAGGCGTGTGGAGACGCCCGTGACTCCTGAGCAAGAAGCCATCCATCATGGGCACAGTAGTAACTCTCCTCTTGCTGCTGGTGAAGATGCACCATTCAGATGGGACCATGTGAGGGTAAAGTTGAAGAAAGAGGTACTTGCCTTTTTGATTTATCCAGAATGCTCTATGTTTGTGGGGAATGTGTTTCTAGCTGGATCTGTCTAATGACTGAGCTGTTTTCTTCTTGTATGTTTTCGCAGATTGTTACACTTGGAATGCCCAGTGTTTCTCCGATTGAAAGAGTTGGAAAGTATGTGAGTCCTCAAGAGTGGAATGAACTGATCAGTGACCCGGAGACTGTAAGTTCTCTATGGTGTTGGTACATGTTTTATTGTTTAAATTCAATTGTTATACCTTGGCTGCAAATCTCTGTCTTTTATTCATTTTTCATCAGTGTAAGTTTGTTCTCTGCTTCAGAATCCAAATATAAATATGGCTTTTTCGTTTCTAAATTGAAAGGTTTATGGGATTTATTTGGTCTGATAGAGAATCTGATCCTACATTGTATTGCAAAAATATGCTTGTAGCACTTATTGTAATACTTGCCACAACCTACAAGCAGTATACTTCTTCTCGTTGATTCTCTAGCACAAAAATGTGTTCCCATGTAGAGCTACGGTATACGATCACTAAAGTCATCTGAGTTCTTTGTGTTTTAGGTGGTGATTGATGTGCGTAATACCTATGAAACTAGAATAGGGAAGTTTAAAGGAGCCGTTGATCCGTGTACCACAGCATTTAGGGATTTCCCTTCTTGGGTGGAGAATCAATTTCGGCTAAAAGAGAAAACGAATGAGGAACAGGTGAAACTGGAGAAAAAGGGTTCATCTGAGAGCACTGTTAAACAAGATGAAACACAAGACCAGAAAGTGTTGCCTCGGGTTGCTATGTATTGCACTGGAGGAATTAGATGTGAGAAAGCTTCAAGTTTTCTTCTAAGCCAAGGTTTTAAAGAGGTAAAAAAAAAACCCTGCATCTGAATAAGTTTTCCGGTTTCTCTCCCTGCCCGTGAAAGCCCTGTAAATCCAAGTCTCAATTTTTTACCGTGCTATGTATATATGGTTTGTTTGTGCATACATGTGAACTGTTGATAGAACAAACAATATATTTCAGGTGTATCATCTGAAAGGCGGGATCTTGAAGTACCTGGAGCAAGTCCCGAAAACAGAGAGCTTATGGGAAGGCGAGTGCTTTGTGTTTGACAAGCGTGTATCGGTCGAACACGGTCTAGCTCAGGGGACCCACAAGCTTTGCTATGGATGCAAGCAGCCTATCAGCGACGCTGACATGGAAGCTCCGGAATATGAGTATGGAGTTTCTTGCCCATACTGTTACTCCGAGAAATCGGAAGAAGAAAAAGAGAGGGCGAGAGCAAGGCAGAGGCAGTTTGAGACGTGGGGAGTTATTGGTGGCCCTGATAAAGGTATGAGACCTGCTGCCAAACCCGATAGCCCAAGGAGGACGAGCAATGCAAAGCTTTCTTCTTCAATATGAGAAAGTTCAGATCTTTGGAGATTGGGAAGCCATTTTAGTTAATTCTTGAAGCCTTGGTCTTTAACGTTTGTGCCTTCTCTTGCCAAAATCATTGTCCTGTTGAGGAGTTTACAAGTCTAATGGAAGAATTACAGTTGTTTTTATATTTTGATAATACGTTTACTTGATCCCATCAAATTCTTTAATGGATCAACTAAAGACTTTCTGAAGTTCAATTTTTGCACAACCAAAACAGCACGTTGTCCACTTGAATAGATGCAGGACGGCATGCAGTGCGAGAAACGTGAAGGATTACGCAGTTCCAAACTTTTGCTTAACTAAAACGGCATGTTGTCCCCATGATTAGACGCAGGACGGCATGAAGTGCGAGAAACGGGAAGGGCTAGGTTTTCTTTGCCTCTTTCGACAATCGCGAGTAGGCAAAGATTCGTCTCTTCTCCTTAATTATCGTCACTTTGTACAGCGATCTTGGTTGACTCGATCTGATTGCGAGAGAGAGAGAGAGAAGCGAAAATGGCAGGAGGAGCGATTTCCAATTTCGTGAGGTCAATCCGTACCCGCTCAACGGACATCGGGGCCGCCGCTGGTTGGGGCGTCGCCGCCGGCGCCACCGCCATATGGCTCCCCCCGGTTGACTCGATCTGATTGCGAGAGAGAGAGAGAGAAGCGAAAATGGCAGGAGGAGCGATTTCCAATTTCGTGAGGGCAATCCGTACCCGCTCAACGGACATCGGGGCCGCCGCTGGTTGGGGCGTCGCCGCCGGCGCCACCGCCATATGGCTCGTCCAAGTACGCCTTCGTTTTTCTCCCCTTTCTGATTCGGTCTTTCTTCAGATCTGTTGTGCCTGTATTTGATTCTGTTGCTGATCTATCTCGATTACCTCTGTTGTTGCTGTGACTGTTCGAATCCATGCATGGTTTTCATCTGCGCACATAGTTTATCTCCAAGGCAATCAATCAATCCCTCTAGGAATTTGAAAGGGAAGGATATAGGCAGATTTGAGTAGCAGATCCTTTGTTGAGATTCATCGACTAGTTATCCTCGTGTAGATGAACGAAGGGGAGGTTATACAATCAATGATGTATTTTTCTGGATTAGTAAATTGACGGGATCATTTCATTATCATATGATGATAGCACATTGTTCTTGGCCCTCAGCATTTTGCTCTGCACATACTCTTGAATATTTTCTATTTCTTAGTTTGATTATGTGATCACCTCTTTGATGATGTAGATGGAATCCCCATCCTCGAATTGTAATCGAACTAATCCCACCCTAATTCATTGCTCAATGCTCACTCTGATTTCTTCCTGGCTCGTATCTTCTCCTTCACTGCGTTGCTTTTATATTCTAAATCTTAAGCTTCCTTGATGTAGATATTTGTCAGATAACTTATGAGATATCTATACTCTTTGTTTTTCAACTTGTTTATCAAAGTTTGGGATTTGAGGAAACAAAACCAGCTTCTATCACTCTTTCACCCTGGCATCAAATGGTGGTTGGGTGAATTGATATCCTCTGTTCTGTCTTCTCTGTCTTATGGATTTATTCTTCTGACATGTTATTCATCGTCGCAGCCATTTGATTGGATAAAGAAGACGTTCTTCGAGAAGCCAGAGCCAGAGGGTAACTGAGGGAAGGCACGGCAGGAGCAAAGAAGTTTTTCGGGTTTTTTGCATCTTTTCTTGGGGATGTCAAAGACACGCATGAACCCAGATGAATAATGAATTTTGTTTTTCTCCTCACTTTGTGATTGTGGTTTCATTTCATTACCAACGCAGACATCTCTTCTCAATGTTATGAGCCAAAACAGATTTGCAAATTCTCTATGAAGAATGCGACCCATTTGCATTACAGTATTTATTTTACCATAATTACGTGTTGAGAGCCAAACCTAAGATTAAAGGCGCATTGTGAGTTCTTTCATTGTCGAGTTGCTTGCTTGTGGGGGCCCTGAAGACTATTGAACTGTTGTTGTTTTAGTTTCTGCCCCTCTTGTCATAATCCATGTAGGTTGCATAAGGACAAGGAAGAAAGCTACTTCCCATCTCTGTCTTTATGATGTTTTTGTCTGTTGAACAATTAGACAGAAACTAAACCAGTAGGATTATTATCTTCCAGCTTAATTGGAAATGCGTAGTTAGTGGATAGTGGATACAGAAGAGAGACCATGGTGAGGGCCTTGGTCCACGTGGGTTGATGGGTTTGTGAGGATTGAGAACCATCCAATGACCAAAGCTTGATCACTTACAAACATCCTCGAGCATTCTACAACGGCGGAAACGTTCTCTTAAGCTTCACAATTCGTCAAAACTACCTCTATATTATATACACATGCACACACTAGTGCTACTATCATGAAACTTGATGACTTGAACATGTTTTGATATAACACCAGCCAATGGGCAAATTTTCTAAAATGCACGACCTGCGTCGCATGAATTTCAGGCATACACCAGCAAAACAAGGACGAAAAATTTTAACAAATTGTACACCATTATTTTACCAAAATTACTTAAATATCCATGTTTTGAAAAAGTCAAAAATACCCTCAAAAGTGAAATTAAACACACGTGGACTTTTTATTTGAAAAAGTACTTTTGCCCCGAAACTCTCGTCCGTCATCTCTCCCCTTCGCTTCCTGTTATATCGTTCCCTTTAGGGCACCTCCTTTGTTACAGATTTTTGAGCTTTTGGAGCGATTTTTGCGTCATTTTTTTGGGGCGATTGATGGAAAAATCTGCTTATAAGGTACAATAGCTATAAATCCTAATCAATTTCGTCTATTATCATTCCATTTTTAAAATTATATGCTTTGATATGGGTGTAGGGTATGAAATCCGAAAACTGATTTTGGGTTTAGGAAATGATGAATGTTGTTGGTTTTTACAGAAAAATGGATGGTATTGAAGATTTGTATACATGTGTGTGTGTAAGGTATGATGGTATTTGGGAAAGAAATGAAGATGGATTGTATGAATGGAAAAGAGATGAAGATAAAACCAAGACAATATGCATTTGTAACAAAACAAGTGAAGTGACACATGATGTGCTTATGGGAAGTGTCTGTTGTCAGCTAAATGTTGGCTCAGAAGAGCCAAATTAAGTTTCATACCAATAGTTATGGACGGTAATCGACCAGAATATATAGTCGATGATATGGGGGTTAAATCTTTTATGTTTAGCAAAATCAATGGGAGACGAGGATGGTTATATGTTGAGTGGAAGGATCTTGATGCAAACCTTGAATCTCATACTTGTGTAGGTGAAGTTGAGGTAGGAGTTGATTTTCATTGTGAAAAAGGAAAAGGGGTTATTAATGGTAGGTGTTTAGTTGTTGATTCTATGTTGAGAGAAGAAGAAAAGGAACAAAATCTTGTTGAATGAACGGATGATTCGTATGGGGTTGAGCATGAGACTTTGCATGAAGATATACGACATGAGAATGAAATGATTGTTACAATTGAGGATATTACGACTGAGTTAGGTGAAGCAGTGGTTGTTACGACTGGTGATATTGCAGTTGAAGATACGACTCAGTTTGGTAATGAATTGATTATTGCAACTGGTGATATTGCAGTTGAAGATACGACTGGGAATGATTGCCAAAGGCATACAAAAGGCTACGAAGGTTTCTCATTCGAAGATAGATTGGGTTTTACCGTGGGTAAAGAGTTTGTGAATAAAGATGACTTAAAAATGAAGGTAATGAAAGCTTCACATGATGCATGCTTTGGATACTACGTATACAAAAGGCTACGAAGGTTTCTCATTCGAAGATAGATTGGGTTTTACCGTGGGTAAAGAGTTTGTGAATAAAGATGACTTAAAAATGAAGGTAATGAAAGCTTCACATGATGCATGCTTTGGATACTACGTATATAAGTCAGAACCACATTTATGGGAAGCAAGATGTTGATTTCGAAGAAAAGGTTGTATGTGGAAAGTGCGAGCAGTGGTTAAAAAGAAATCTGAGAATTTTATGGTTACGAAGCATGTGAATATTCATACATGTTCACCGGTGCTACAATCAGAAGAAAAAGAAAGGAAAACAAAGGAAGGAAGTGTAGAGATGGTTGTAGCGTATCTGAAAAGGCATTATGCGGGTCAAGTTGATCTTCCAAGAGTGAAAAGAATAATGTCTTTGGTAAGTAAAGCTTATAAATGCAAGATGTCTTATATTATGGCATGGAGAGGGAGACAACAAACTCAAAATGCTGTTTGGGGAAATCCGGTGGAGAATTATAATAGGCTTCCGAGTTATTTTCATATATTGAAGGAAAAAAATGAAGGTACGATAGCGGATATACAATTGGAAGATGACGGGAAAACTTTTAAGTATGTTTTTTTTTGCTTTGGGTGTTTGTATCAAAGGGTGGTGTGCAATGCGGAAAGTGATTGTCGTAGATGCGACATCTCTTAAAACAGCATATAAAGGATTCTTGATTGTCGCCACAGTCCAAGACGGTAACCGAAATTTGTATCCTCTAGCTTGGGGGATAGTTGATACAGAAAATGATGCTTCATGGAATTAGTTTATGAAAAAATTGGTAGAAGTGATTCCTGATAGTAATGACATGGTTATGATCTCCGATCGACATCAAAGCATATCAAATGATGTTCGTGATGTGTACAAGAGAGCTAAACATGCATATTGTGCATATCATATCTCCCAAAACATCAAGACACTAGTGAACAAAGGAGTACGAGGTAAAAGGAACAAAAATGGAGATAGTGTTGCTGGGATGTTCTATAAATGTGCTAAGAGTTACACAGAAAAAGAGTTCACAATTCTGTGGGGTGAATTCTGTGACAGGTGCGACTTGATTACAGTGTAAATATTGTTGGATTACGACCGATATAAATTTTTGAACAGCTTTTGAATGTTTTTATGTACAGGCTTTCGAAAGTTGTTGAATATTTGAAGAAGAGTGTCGAACCTGTTAAATGGGCAAGATGTTATTTTCCGGGAGAAAGATACAATCTATTGACAACTAATGGTGCGGAGACAATCAATTCTGTATTGAGGAAGGCGAGAAGGTTACCTTTGCTCGGTTTGATTAACGTGATTGTGGATAAAACAGTGGAATGGTGGTGAAAACGCAGGGCATGCGCATTTTCAAGTACACAACAACTAACACCATATGTGGAGAATGAATTGCATAAGCGGTATAGAACTTCTAAGGTATTTACTATTCGAAAGATAAATCGCAATTGGAAAGAATACGAAGTCACTGATGATAGTGGGAAAACATATTTCGTTGATCTACAAAAGAAGTCTTGCGATTGCAGAGCTGGGATGTTGATAAATATCCATGTTCTCATGCAATAAAAGTTGTGCATGAACATGGTGAAAAAGACAAGTTATTTGACTATTGTTCACCATACTATACAAGGGCAATATGGGAATGGACGTATGTTGATAGCATATATCCAGTATCTGATATTTCTCATTAGAATATCCCTGAGCATGTAGCAGAGATGAAAGTGGATCCTCCTATTTTAAGACAACGAGGTGTTGGTCGACCGATAACGAGTCAAATCAAAAGTGCCGGAGAAAAACGGCGAAAGAAAAGAAGATCAAGGATGAATCCATGTGATTCAGAGGAGTCGAATGTGACACAGTCAAACAAAAGGAAGAAGACGGGAAAAGCAATGGAGATACAGTTAGGAGATGAACTGCGACCTTTTGGACTTGAAAACAAAATCTTAGAAATTTATTTATAAAAAAGTATTCTTTATTTGTAAAAAAACAACGTGTGTTCTTTATTTATAAAAAAACAACATATGAAAAAAGGTAAAAATGATCAACAACAAGTTTCGTTTTGAACATAATTAGAAAGGTAAATAAAAAAAATAATTTAGAAAAACCAAAATCTGACATGTCAAAAAAGTAAGTTTTTGTCTTATTATAAACCAAAACTAATATTTTGCAATTTAAATGCAGATACATTACGATTTTTGAAATTCGATGATAATGTCCAAAAAAAGGTTAAATAAAACGAGTTTTAATTTACAATTCATATATATGAACTTAATATTGTCTTCTTAAGTGGAAAAATTGAGTTTACAATCAAATTTTAATATTTTTATGTAAAATCATCAACTTTGGATCAAACCACATCATAATCTTTCTTACACATATAGGAGTGTTTTCTAATTTACATGACAAAAAATTTAAAAATCTTTATTTTCTTAATTTATACCTATAAAACATTTTATAACACTTATTTGGTATGTTTTCGTCATTTATCGACAAAAAATTTAGTAAAATTTACGAGTATATATATTAATACGACTACTGTAAGTCGTATTTAAGTTACAGTTATACATATTTTCGCAATAGAATTTTTAACATGGGTCCACGTGTCAGATGATTACTTTGACTTTTCTTCCATCAATAATGACTTACTTTTTCATACTGCGACTTACTTTTTTGTTGCCACTTACTTTTTAAGATTCTGACTTACATTTTCATATTGTGATTTAATTTTTAATATCGCGACTTATTTTTTGAAAAAAAAGCAACTACTCTATTACGACTTACTTTTTAATAAATCGCAACAGACGTTTTTCATAAATTACGATTTCCAAATTAACCAAATCAACATGTCTTCAAGTAATACAAAATACCATAACATTAGACCTAATAAAAAAATACCAAAATAACATAATGTCTTACAAAACAACATAACATAAAACAACATTAAACCTATTTCAAATGTCTTCAAATAGAAAATACCATAATATGATAAAACCAAGTCCAGGTCATGTGATAAAACCAAGTTCAAGTCATATTTTCTCAAACCAAACTCATGATTTTTGTCCATGACCTCTACCTCTTCTACCTCTTCCTCGACCTCTAACGATTCCACCCTTCGAATTGATAGACGTCAAAGTATCCGCCTATGGACTCAATGTTTTACCTGATATTTTTTTTGCCCTTTTAATTCTCTCGCTTGGTTTTCTTCCAACAACTCTAATCTCTTGGTCTTCTTTCTCGGGCTCTCCTTGGTCTTCTTTCTCGCGTTGTCCTTGGTCTTCTTTCTCGGCCTGTCCTTGGTCTTCTTTATCGGGCTCTCCTTGATCTTCTTTCTCGGGCTCTCCTTCTTCTGCTTCTTTCTCGGGTTGTCCTTGGTCTTCTTTCTCGGGCTCTCTGTGTTCTTCTTCAGATTTATTATCACCTTTTTCTTCTCCTTCTTCAGCATCTTCATCGCATTTTTCCTTTCCTTCTTCAGCTTCTTCATCACATTTTTCCTTTCCTTCTTCAGATTCTCCGCTAACTTCTTCTTCAGTTTCTTCAGATTCCTCATCACCTTCTTCAACTTTATCGGTATCTCCTTTATCAACTTCCTGTTCAACTTCTTTTTCAGATATATCAGCACCTTTTTCCTGTCCTTCTCCAGATTCTCCACCTTCTTCTTCAACTTCTCCAGCAGATTCTTCAACACTTTCTTCTTCATCTGTTTTCGTATCTTTTTCTTCTTCTCTTTCATCTTCTCTTTTATCTTCTTCTGCATCTTCAGTTCTTCTCGGTATATCAAAGACAACATTTCTTTCCGATAGATCAATCATAACCTCAATTGGATCCTCAGGAGTCATCTTATGTCTGGCGGAAGTCTTGCCCTTTTCATTCATTGACAAGTTCTCATTTATCTTCTTCATCAATAAGTCCATTCTAGCTTCAGCTTCAAATGGCGAGTCGTACTTACCTGCTGCGATCATACCGGCAATAATCAATTTCTTCATATATTCACCTTGGCCTTCAATCGCTTTCTGCAAGTTGGTTTCAGTCTCAACCAATTTTTGACCCAAAAACTGAATCTTTCATTTCATTTGTCTCACTTCAACCCTCAATTTGTTCAAATCTCGACTTCTTACCTCCTTCTTCTTCTTCTTCTTCTTCTTCTTCTTCTTCTTCTTCTTCTTCTTCTTCTTCTTCTTCTACATCATTATCGGTTACTCGTCTTTTCCCTTTATCAGTTTTTTCTCTCTTTTTATCCCACTTCCGAGGTGAAGCAGGTGGTTTCCTCTTCTTTTGCTGAAGCATCATTGGTACTTCAACTCGAGATTTCACATCAGCCTCGAGTATATCCTTCCATTTCACAGATTTTGGATCCTCAATCAAATGAGCAATCCAACTATCAACCACCACATCAAAATTATCTTTGATTTCCAAACCATCAAGCAAAGATGTTTCACCATGTTCTAGGAACAAAATGCTCGCAATATCCTGAAAAAAGAAATTGTTCAAACTTAATTCGAGTTTAAAAGCCTATACCTTTTTAACATCGCTAACACTTTATAACCCTTAGTAGAAACAAACCTGTGTCCTGCCGATCATTGTTAATCCTTGTTTGATACCATATTTTTTTTTCCGGGATGAAACATCTCTTACACATCAGAGGACATGTTTCTGTCACATTACCCTCCGGTCTCACTACGTTATACCATCCACCAGAACGAAGTTTAAGAATACATTCGAACGACAACATCTGCAAAATCAACCACAAATTATTAATAATCAGATTCTTCAACAACTTTGTATTAATTTAAATGACTTACCGTGAGTGGAATTATAAATCCTGGTAAGTTCCATTGATTGACTGGTTTCCGATGCTTGTTCAAATAATTTAGAATAAATCCATGAATAAATTTGAAGGTGAACGTTCCCCAAGGGAATTGTTCACAATCCTCGACGCTATTAACAATCCTCAACAACAACGGATTGACGTATTCTGAATGTTGATGTCCAATCACATAGCTAAGAAGCAAGAGATACGCCATCTTCAATCTGTCTTCCTTGTCATCCTTTGTCAATTGCCCAAATTTATCCATCACATCTCCTTTCGTAACCTTCTCAAAGCTGTCTTGACCAAAATATTTTCTATAGAAATCAATCCCTCCATATTCCTCCAAATTTTCTGGTAATGGAGAACACTTTATGCCGCTGAGAAGAGCATGCTCCCACAACGAGTATCTAATAGGACAGCCGTTAATGACGAACCATAACTCATCATCTTTCTTCCTCTTCACTGTCCGATGAATACCTCATTTCCCCCTCAGTCAAATACTTCTCCAAATAATTCTACTGCTTCTATATGAAAACATTTTGATGACAACTTCACAACAATCTTGTTCATGTCATCGAATTCATAATAGAATTCTGTTTTCGGTATATCATACATCTGCAATAACACACATATTCATTAAATATATAACAGATTTCGTAACTTATTCACTACCATTATGTATTAGCTACTTAGTATCAGACACTTTCCAAATTTTAAGTTGCAATATAATTACAACAAAAATTCATAACTCGAATGAAAACTGAACTCACTATTATTACTTATTTACTACTTCGTATCAGCCAATTCGCAAAATCTAATTAAATTACAATCTGAATGATTTTTTATTTACTACTTCGTATCAAAGACTATTCAAATTTTATGTTTTAATCTTCTAAATATTTGAATGAAAGTTGATTTCGCGTTTTGTATTTTATTCAGATAAAATTGTTTTTAAAATGTAAACCTATTTTTTATACAAATTTAATTTAAATTCAAACTCAAATCGAAATATCTTACATGTGTTTAAAGAGAAGCTTTCGTTGATTTTTCAGGAGAAGCATCTGGGCCAGTAGAACAACCTCCCTCACTCGACGATCGAGACTCCATTTCCTTCGTTCGTCTTTGGTCTAGATACTTTGCGTTCCTTCGTTCTTGTCTTCCTTCCTTCGATTATCGGTTTCACTTTCAGTTGAACCTCCCGAATTTATCGATTTCAGACGGTTGAAAAGATGACACCCTTCGTCAGAAGAAGCAACATCTTCTTCTTCGATTTCAATCGAGTGAGAAGAAATGACTAGGTTGCTTGATTCCTGGCTGGGTTGTTCGATTTCTGACGGGATTGCAAGATTTCCGGCGAGTCGCTCGATTTCCGGTTGAGTCGCCTTCTGCGTCTCTCTCTCTTTTCTGTGACGGTAAAAAGCTAGGGTTTTGTTTTTTTAGATTTCTCCCCTTTTTACCATCTTTATCGATAGATTTTAGGGTAATACTTATACGTGCACACATCCGTTTTTTCATTAAGGGGTTTAGGGTCATTTCCAATTTTTTTTTAAGGGTATAGAAGTCAAATTGTTTATATTTTTCAGGCGTACCTGTAATTATTGCGACGGACATACTGTATTTGAGAAAAAAGGCCGTGAGGCGAAAATGGAGGCGTTGGTATGTAGGAAATTGGGCGATCCGGCGGAGACGGAGCCGGGGAGTGAAGAATCGCCGGTGGTGGTGAGCAAGAACCAACCGATCCCGCCTCTGGATTCCGACACGGCGGGTCGGGCCACGAGCCTGAATTACGCCAATTACCTTCAGATTCAAGGCAAGTACCAGGAGAAGCCTCCGTTGCCTTTCGTCCCTGGCTCCGATTACTCTGGAACCGTCGACGCCGTCGGTCCCTCTGTCACCAAGTTCCGTCCCGGCGATCGTGTCTGCTCCTTCGCCGCTCTCGGCTCCTTCGCTCAGTTCATCGTCGCCGACCAATCTCACCTGTCTCCATTTCTCTCTCTCCCTCTGTACATGTATATATTTGAACCGTCGTATATCGTATATGTGTATGTTCATATCTGTTTTGGGTTCCGTTCAGATTCCCAGTGCCCGATGGATGCGACATGGTGGCTGCAGCCGCTCT